TGGAAAACAGTGTGGAGTTTCCTCAAAAAATTAAAAATGGAACTACCATAGGATCCAGCAAGCCTACTTCTGGGTATTTACCCAAAAGAAATGAAGTCAGTATGTTGAAGAGACATCTACATCCTCGTGTTTATTGTAGCTTTATTCACAATAGCCGAGACATGGAAACAACCCAAGCTTTCTTCAGTGGATGATGAATGGATACAGAAGATGTGGTAAGTGCATATAATGGAAGATTATTCAGTCATGAGAAAGAAGGAAATCCTCACAATTGTAACATGGATGAATCTGGAAGACATTTAGCTAAGTGAAAGGAGATAGAGAGAGAAAGATAAATAGGGTATTATTTCATTTATATGTGGAATCTAAAAAAAAAAAAGCCAAACCCACGGAGGGAGAGAGTAGGAATGTGGTTACAGGGGCAGGAAAGTGGGGGAAATGGGACATTTGGGCAAAAGGGTACAAAGTTGCAGTTACATAAGATGAGCAAGTCTAGAGAGCTAACATATAGCGTGACTACTATAATTAACAGTACTGTATTAAATACTGGAAATATGCTTACAGAGTTGACTCCAGGTGCTCTACACACACACACACACACACACACACACAGTAACTATGAGAGGAAGTGATGTGTTAGTTAGCTTGATGGTAGTAACCATGTCACAGCATATATGTATATAAGTCATCATGTTTTACACTGTACATATACACAATTTTTCATTTTTTAAAACATATATAAAAGAGAAAAAATCAAATCAAATTAAAATTAAAAGAACTCCAAGTGATTGGCAGACACAGTAAGATGTTAGGAGAATTATAACATTACATAAACATTAATCTTAATTTCTACCAGAATAGTTAAGATACTGATACTAGTTTACACACACGTACACACACGTACGCACACATATCCTCCATTGCAACTACATTTCCTCTTCTCCCTCCATTCAACCCCACCACCAACACCACCATTTCCTGTAAGATCACAGTGCCACCTTCTGGAAAGATGAGGGAGAGATGATTGAGCCACTCAGGAGAACAGAGCAGATGACGGCGGTGAAGTGCAGGGCAAGGGGGACCTAGAGGACCTTGCAGGGAAGTGGCTTTGCCAGAAGATGGCACCCTGCGCCGTCCACCATGGCACCCACTGGCCACGTAGGGCCACCGAGCCCTTGAAATGCGGCTAGTTCCTGCTGAGATATGCTCTAAGTATAAAATGAGTACAAAAACTTACTATTAAGAAAAGATATAAACTATCATGTTAGGAATTTTTATACTGATTTGTTGTTGAGGTTCTATTTTAATACATTAGGTTAAATAAAATATGTTATTAAAACTAATTTCATCTGTTTCTTCTCAGTTTTATTATGTGGCTACTGGAAAACTTTAAATTACATGTGACTTGCTTTCTATTTTTATTGGACAGCACTCTGTAAGCTGTGTTTTACAGAATATAGATTCCCAAGGAACTTCATGTCCTCCCCTCAGGTATGTCACTGCAGGGAGCCTCTGATCCTGCAACTCTGTAATTCCCTTTCCGACCCCAGCCCCCCAAACGCATCCAGTCCACGTAGGTACCAACAGCCCCAGAAGAGAGCCTGGTACGTAGTAAGTACACAAGAAATACCTGCAGAATGAGCGAATAAATGCATGAGTGAGTGAGGTGTCATCAAGGAGAGGGATGCCTTGTCTTGAATGGGTGCATCTCTTTTTGGAGGCCACCAAGTCACAAAGTCATTCAGAGGAAAATTTGGTGAATTAGATGCAGCGAATCAAACCAGATAGATGCATATGTATTATTTTCAAAGCCGAAGCCTGATTACAAAGTCATGCAACAAATTTTCTTAAGTCTCTCCCAACCCAGTACTCTTCAAAGTTGGAAGCAGAGGTTTTATTTACAAGCTGGGTGGCCTAGAAAGTTCCAGACTCCCAGGTCCCTTTCTTTTGCAGCCACACCTTAGCCATTAGAAGGGGCTTCGGTTTGGTTTTGATTTGCATTTCCCTGATGAAGAGGGACACTGAGCATCATTTCATGTGTTTGTTGGCCATCTGGATGTCCACTCTGGAGACGTGTCTGGATGTCTTCCTCCCATTTCTTCACTGGTTTATTTCTTTTTCAGGTGTGGAGTTTGGTGAGTTCCTTATAGATTTTGGATACTAGCCCTGTATCTGATATGTCATTTGCAACTACCTTTTCCCATTCTGACAGTTGCCTATTAGTTTTATTGATTGTTTCCTTTGCCTTGCAGAAGGTTTTTATCTTGATGAGGTCCCAAAAGTTCATTTTTGCTCTTGATTCCCTTGCCTTTGGGGATGTGTCAAGTAAGAAATTGCTGTGGTTGAGGTCGAGGAGGTTGTTTCTTGCTTTCTCCTCTAGAGTTCTGATGGTTTCCTATCTCACATTCAGGTCCTTTATCCATTTTGAGTTTATTTTTATGTATAGTGTGAGAAAGTGATCTAGTTTCATTCTTCTGCATGTTGCTGTCCAGTTCTGCCAGCACCATCTGTTAAAGAGGCTGTCTTTTTTCCATTGGATACTCTTACCCACTTTGTCAAAGATTAGTTGGCAATACAATTATGGGACCAATTCTGAGTTCTCTATTCTATTCCATTGGTCTATGTGTCTGTTTTTGTGCCTCTGAGATACCACCTCACGCTGGTCAGAGTGGCTAAAATGAACAAAGACTCTAGATGCTGGTGAAGATGTGGAGAAATGGGCACCCTCCTACACTGTTGGTGGGCATGTAAACTGGTGCAGCCCCTCTGGAAAACAGTGTGGAGGTTCCTCAAAAAATTAATAATAGAACTCCCCTAGGACCCAGCAATAGCACTGCTAGGAATTTATCCAAGCGACACAGGAGTGCTGATGCACAGGGACACATGTACCCCAATGTTCATAGCAGCACTCTCAACAACAGCCAAATCATGGAAAGAGCCTAAATGTCCATCAACTGATGAATGGATCAAGAAGATGTGGTTTATCTATACCATGGAATACTCCATGGCAATGAGAAAGAATGAAATCTGGCCATATGTAGCAACATGGATGGACCTTGAGGGTGTTATGCTGAGCGAGAATAGTCAGGTAGAGAAGGACAGATACCATATGCGTGCACGTATAGGAGGATTAGGAGGAACTTAACAGAGGACCGTGGGGGAGAAGAACGGGAAACATAGTTGGGGAGAGGGAGGGAGGCAAACCATGAGAGACTCTTGAATACTGAGAACAAACTGAAGGCTGATGGGGGTGGGGGAGGGGAAGGGGGGTGATGGGCATGGAGGAGGGCCCTTGTTGGGATGAGCACTGGGTGTTATATAGAAACCAACTTGACAATAAACTATTTAAGAAAAAAAAATAAATAATAAAAGTATTTTTATTAAAAAAAAAGAAGGGGCTTCTGTTACACTTTATAGCTTTCCCAGCACTTCCTCACCTGTTAGCTTGATTGATTTTCAAAGCCAAACAGTACTATTCATTATCACTTTTTTCCAAGTGATAAGTTAACTTGTTATCTAATTTCCAAAGATCATTAACAATGAGGCCAGGTCTATACCTTGGCTCGTGGTTGTTCTCAGGGCTCACTGGCTGTTTTACAGGTTCTGGGTATTTTGCATATGCATATTTTTTTAAGTTGAATTATTTATTTATTTTGACAGAGACAGAGAGAGCATGAGTTGGAGAGGGGCAGAGAGAGAGAAGGAGCGCAGTTAGTATGCAGAGCCCATGCGGGCTTGAACCTTGAAACCATGAGACCACGACCTGAGCGGAAATCAAGAGTCAGACGCTTAACCGCCTGAACCCCCCAGGTGCCCCACTGTATGCATGTTCGTTAAGAGCCTTTGAGAGTGGGACGCCTGGGTGGCTTAGTCGGTTGAGCGTCCGACTTTCACTTAGGTCATGATCTCGCGGTTCGTGGGTTCGAGCCCCGCGTCGGGCTCTGTGCTGACTGCCAGCTCAGAGCCTGGAGCCTGTTTCAGTCTGTGACTCCCTCTCTCTCTGACCCTCCCCTGCTCACGCTGTCTCTCAATCTCTCCTAGAAATAAATTAAAAAAAAAAACAAGAGCCTTTGAGAGGATGTGTGAATCTGTTAAAACTTTCCATCTTATTGGCCTCAGTCTTGTTATCTGTAAACTGAGAGGATAAAATTAAATAATCTATAAGGTCATTTCTAATGCTAAAATTATGTGGATCCCTGAAACTTGGCTGAACAAGCACCAAAGACAGAAGCCTAAGTCTCATTCCCCTTACATCTTCTCTGCAGGATTTTGCACAGGGAGAGTGTTTACTGAAGGTTGACTGGCTTTGCCTTGCACAAGGAGGAAGCTGGAATGTCCTTTGCTCTCACTGAGCCCAGCTCTTTTTTTCTTAATTTTTTAATGTTTATTTATTTAAAGAAAGAGAGAGCATGAGCAGAGGAGGAGCAGAGAGAGGAGAGAGAGAATCCCAGGCAAGCTCTGTGCTATTAGCGCAGAGCCCAACACTGAGCTCGATCTCACAAACCTCAAGATCATAACCTGAGCCAGAATCAAGAGCTGGATGCTTAAATAACTGAGCCACCCAGGTGTCTCTGAGCCCAGTTCTACACACACACACACACACACACACACACACACACGCACACACACGCACACACACGCACACACACGCACACACACCCCACTGGCTGCTCTAGGAAGGAAAAGGCCTATGGATCAACAGATAAGATGATGAAAATATCCGAGCTGCCTGGGCTAGAGGCACCCAGAGGATCCGTATCTCAGATTTCATCCTCATGAAGTATTCAGTGAGTGCTCCCTGGAGCCTGTGTGAGCCGCGTTCCTCTCTGCGTGCAGATCCCTGTGCCCAGATCTCTCTGTACCTCTCCCATCCCTATCTCGTCCTCTCCCGGTGCTGCTGTCGCTGGGTCTTTGCTGGGTCCCAGCACTGGGTCTTTCTCGGTGTCTTTCTCAGTGTCCATCTTCTTCCAGCCTGCATGTCTGCCTCTCTCTCTGCCACCATGGCCCCTGCCCAGCAGGTGGGGGTTCTACCCTTTGGCATCCCAGGGACCTGGGCCCGTCTGGCTCTCTTCTGCTTTACCCTCCAGAGTGCCATGTGTCTGGGCAGGGAGGACCCTCAGGACTGCGGGAACCAGACGTCCAGTGCAGAAGAGGCACACCAACCGGGGTGCCCACAGGGTAGGGTCTGGGGCTGAATGTGCACCGAAGGACTTGGGGATATAGTTAAGGAATGGGGAAAGAAAAACAGCCATGAGGGGAGATGTTGGCTTTATAAAACACCTGGGTGGGGGGCGGGGTGGGGAGGAGGGGGCAGAAGCCCCAAGTGGGGAAAGAAAATAGTCTGGTGTCCCCCTGGGGCCTCTGGGGGAAATCGCCTGGGGACCGGCAACTCCTGGAAGCTAAGTCTTAGCTCTAATTGCCGTGCGCCCGTCACCCAACAGGTAGTCTCTGCCCTGACTCACCACCTGGCCCCTGTCCCCCTGGAACGTTCCTCTCCAGAGAAGGTCCCCACAACACCCCCCTCTGCCACCGCTGTCCTCGAGGATTCTTCAACCCCTGGCCCGGCCAGGATGCCTGCTTTCCCTGCGGTTCGGAGGCCACGCAGCCAGAGGAGGGCAAGGACACATGTGTCTGCCTGGAGCCTGGCCGGCTGTTCCAGGTATGCTCTCTGGTGGCGAGATCCAAGGACACGCTGCGTATGCAGGACTGTTGTGGTCAAGTTCAGCTCCAACGTAACCTGACCAGGGGTAGCTCAGGTTTCCAAGTGACATGGGGTAAGATGGCCAGAAATATAGAGGTACCCACTTAAACCAGAACTTCAGGTCAAGGAGATAATTGCTTAGCATAATGTGTCTCAAGTATTGAATGAGACATACTCATACTAAAACTGTATTCCTTGTTTATTCGAAATTCAGATTCAGCGGGGTGTGCTGTCTTTTTACTCGCTAAATCCGGTAACCCTACTTAGAAGAAAGGTCAGACGTGGTCTCCATCATGACCACTCCCAAATTATACACCCTGACCCAAACCTTCCTGCCCAAACTTTCCCTGTAAAGCCAACAAATAACGCATGTGAGTCCTTCCTTTCCTGAAAATCCCAAGTCTTTCTGACTGAAGTGCTAGCACCAGCTGGTCCCTAACCAGCATGAGCCGGTGACCTTCTCCTGTCACCTGACTCGTCTCCAGCCCGGATGAACCTTGACGTCCCCTCCCCTGCCTTTATCTTCTGGCCCTTCTCGGGCAGTGTCACAGCCAAAGGGGCGGTTCACCACAACCAGGTATCAACCAGCCACCCCTCCCTCCCCAACCCCCAGCCCAGCGATGGGCAGTGCCCCTGCTCCCCAGGCTACCAAGACGTTGGCGAGCCAAGGGGCTGTGTCCAGCGGGAGCGTAAGAGCTGCAAGGGTGGGGCCGCGTGGAACCAGGACGGGCTGTGTTTGACCAAGGACCAGTGGAGCCACCACTGTGCCCACGAGGTAGGAGGGGTCTGTGTAGTGCACCCCCGGCCCTTCACCCGACAGCTCGCATGCCCAGCCCCCTCGCCTCGGGGCTCACTCCTTTCCATTATCTATGGAAACACGGACACCTGTGCTCTGCACTCTAAAGCTGGAGAGAGTTGGGGGGAACCTCCCCCAGAAAGGTGTCCCTAAGAAGCTTAGTCTCTGTGCAGGTGTGTGCCACCCCGGGAGATGCCCACGGCTATGACCCGGGCCTGGGGCTCTGCCGGTGCCAGGGACAATACTCAAGTGGACCGTGTGGTGCGCTGTGCCCAGAGGGACAGAGACACACCCTGCGGCTCTGGTGCTCCCACGGCGTCCCGCAGGTCTCCGTCACTGAAGGCCCCGGGAGCCAGGTACGGTGCCGAGGTCCAGCCCCATGCCGAGCAGAGACCCAGGGACCCAGCGCTGTGGCCTCTGCCTCCTAAGAAGGAGTATGTGTGACATGCCTGTGCACGGGGCCCTGGCACCTACTCACTGAACCCCATCACAGCACAACCGCTAGTGCCAGAGCAAAGGCCCCAGTGTTGGCTTAATTTCTTCCTATGAAACTCCTTGAGGAGTGATTCGTTCATGAAGGAGGGGTGAGGTGTCTTGGGAATCTTCCCACGGAGTAAACGATAGCATCAGGATGAGAAGTTCTTAGATTACCGGCACCACCTCCTCCCTCCGTCCTTATCAGGACACGGAGGGGGCTCAGGGGAGGCCCTGGGCTGGCCTCCCCTCCCCGTGGGGCTGCTGTGTTACTCACCAGGTCTTACGGGAGGACCTGACATCAGACCTCCTCGTTCCCAGGAAATTTACCTCCTGGACAGGCCTTCCTCACCTCGTGCTGTGGGCCATCCCTGCAACTTGGACCAAACTCAGAAGCCTGTCCCTCTGTATGTGGTCAGGATGGATGGTAAGACAGCTGGACAGGGGGAGGCCACAGGTGGGCCTGCGGCCCAGGACCGCACAGCCTCGCCCTTTTCCGTGGCTCCTTCGGGCAGCAGCTGGATGGTGACACCCCGTGAGGTGACCCTTTGATTTTTAGAAAGCTGAATCCTACCACATTCAAATCAGGAATGGACAGCTTCTGTTGTATCCGTGCACTAGGAAATCCCTCTCTCTAGGCCCTGTAGGTTGAAAGAGATCCCTGTCTTGTTCTAGGGACTGGGTTCCTGGGCTTGATCCGACCAGGTCATGAGCTACTGCGTTCCCTCGGCCTGCTCATCGGGGCCCCCGGGCCCCCAGGACACGACGCAGGTGAGCATCACGCCTGACACCTGTTGCTCCTCCTCCTCCCACCTCCACGGGCGAGAATCTGCCCAAACACTGACTGTAACTCTTCACGCTCTGTATCTTGCTTGCCCAGGACAGTCAAGGGAAGGACATCTGACCTCCTCTTGGTCAATGAGCCTCAACTCCACACGCCGTGGGGATCTGCCGCCCCCAGAGCCAGGCATCCGAAACCCCACCGTCTGCCTCCAAATCAATGACACACTTGCCTTCCTGGTGACCCGGGACCATTACCCTGAGTATGACCCGTGAGTGTCCAGTGGACACAGCCCTGCCACCACGGAGGTACTAGAGAGGAGATGCTCCTATGCCTGCAGCCGGCTCAAGAGACAACAAACCGCCTCCTTTTCTGTCCCCAGGGGCCACTTCTATAACACACGGAGGGGATTTGACTGGGGGCGCCTCCGGGCCCTCGCTGAGGAGTCCCAGCTCCAAGATCAAGAACCCTACCTCTTTCTACAGCAATTCCAGGAGCCTGGGGTCTACGTCTTTCGTCTGAGCAGCAACAGGCATCGGAAGATGGTTCGTCTATGATGGTTTGCCTCATTTAAGACACGAGCCCAGGGAAATTCCCCCTCGCCTTAAAAAAAATGGCTTCATAATCATCCCAGACAGATTCCCCAAGGAAGGAGATGCCCAGGGTGTCATACCAAAGCTTCAGGCTCCCACATCCTAACAGATAATTCTGGGGTCCCAAGGGTTCACTCCCACATGCGACGGATAAGGAGGGGAAGATCGTAAGGAGGGTCCAGACATCTCTCACAGCCCTCTACCTCATTGCCCCTCCTCACCCCCCCCCCCCGCTCTTTCATCCTGAAGGCACATACTGCAAACCCATCTACACACGCCTGTACCCATGTGACCTCCATATGATGCCACCACTGATCCAGGTGCACTGTCGTGGTCACACACAGAAGTTAGCACCTCCTCCTGTCTGTGCAGCTTCTAAGAGGCTGTGCTGACCTTGCCCCAGCACATGCAGACAGCTGCCCAGTTACTTGATGTGAATTCGTTTCCCAGGAAAAACTCAAATCCTGCTCCCCCAAGGTGTGCACGAAGACCTGGACTATTTGGTTCAGGCTGACAGGCCCGGGGTCCCACCCCGTCCCCTTGCCAGTCTCTGGCAGACAGTGGGACAAAGGCTGAACAGATTTCTTTCCGCCCAGTACATCCGCACCCTCCCGCCAGGGGGCCGGTGCTTTGGAGAGGGGCCCTTCGCCCCCACGACTCCTGGGTATCTCATCCAAACTGGCATCGCCAAGATCCCCAGGCCCCCGAAGAGGTCTGAGTGGCCCGAAGTCCTGGGGGAGACTGTCCTGCTTCTGGGGTTCTGCCTGCTTCTGTTGGTGAGTAAGGCTGGACAAGTGACCTCTGAGTCACTGCGCGAGGCTTCCTGTCTGATTCCTCGTAAGTGGGTCTTCGGGTGCCCGTTTGCAGTGGGCATTATAATGGTTGCTAAGATGGGAAAATGACAAAGGTACAGCCTCAGGCCTCTAGTGATCAAAGTTCCGTCAGGAGGACATAGACAAGGAAAGAAACGAATGTCGGGAACATTAGGGCACTATGGTGAAAGCGTGGCCAGGGTGCCTGGCTGCGCAAAGGAAGGAGCTGGCCGTCCTCCCGTGGGTCAGGATAGACTTTTGTGAAGAGGTGATTCCCGAAAGAGGCTTGAAATGGGAGACGTGGTAGAATGTGGTTCCTGTATGAGCAAAGGGGTTGGTGAGCTGGGGGCTGGGAGGCTAATGGGGTTGGGAGGAGGGGTGGGAGGCAGAGAGGGAGTATTACGTGTGAAGGCGCAGAGGCATGAAACAACATTCGCCGCTCGGGGAACCCAATGTCGGGGTGCAAGCGCAGAGATGAGGCTGAAGCTGGGAGAGACCGAATTACAGATCGTCTCATGGGCCCTGCTCTACCCTGTAGGCAGTGGGGATCCGTTAATACTTTTGAGCAAGAGAGTAACTCTGGTAAGACTTATTTTTACTCTAGCAATAGGGTGAAAGATAGAGATGGATCGGGCGGGGGGGACCACAAAGAGAGAGACCGTTGGAACAGTCCAAACAAGAGAAGATGAGGCGCCTCCTAACTACAGCTGAGCGGGCTGTCCTTCACATCACCACCTTATATACCATGTAGATTCAGTGTCACAGCCTCAGCTGGGCCCGGAAGGCCACTCCCAGCCCCATATTCAGGAAGCATCAGCAAGGATACAACCTGGATGCCTACGCTTCCCCAAGAACTGGGATGACATTGGTGAGAAGGGGTCAGTCATACCAAGACTCTGATAGCCTCCAGGTTGACAGAGCTCACGGTGAGTGACAGACTTGGGTTAGAATCCCAGAGGTGTCCCCAAACCTAACCGGCCAGCTCTTGCTTCCTTTTTTCGTGTTCCTAGGGTACTCAATGCTCCCTTCTCCTCCATTCATTTATTCATTTGCTCAGTAAACATTTATTGAGCGGCTACTATATGCCAGACACTGCCTGATTCTAGAAGTGCACAGTGTAGAGGAGGGTAGAGACATCCAAATAAAAACTTTCCGAAAGAAAAGTAATATAACCATGTACAAAGTGCCCAAGTAAGAAAACGTCCCATACTGGGGCACCTGGGTGGCTAGTCGGTTAGGTGTCCGACTTCGGCTCAGGTCATGATCTCACGGTTTGTGAGTTCGAGCCCCGTGTCTGGCTCTGTGCTCAGAGCCTGGAGCCTGCTTTGGATTCTGTATCTCCCTCTCTCTCTCTGCCCCTCCCTTGCTCGTGTTCTCTCTCTCTCAAAAATAAATAAACATTAAAAAAAAAAGTCCAGTACTACCTAGAGGAGCAAATCGCAGAAGGCATTAATGCGTCAGGCTGAGGTGTTTCACCTTCTACCCTTCCTACTCAAAGAGTGGTCCTCAGATAGCAGCACTGGATTCTGTTTGTTCTGCCCCAATTTAAATGTGATTATGAATTACCTGGGGAACTTCTGCTGCAATGGGTCAGAGATGGAACCTAGAATTCTGCATTTTTTTAAAGGTTTTTCAATTTATTATTTTGAAAGGGACAGAGGGAGCACGAGTGGGGGAGGGGCAGAGAAAGAGGGAGAATCTCAATTCCTGGTCCTCGGGAGCCCAGCTGGAATGAAGAAGCTCAGGCCAGTTGGGAGCAAAAAAAAAAATGAACACGCTGGTCGGGGTGCACTCTGACGATGTGGGGCTCAAACTCAGGAAACCGTGAGATCATGACCTGAGCCAAAATCAAGAGTTGAGGCTTCACCAACTGAGCCACCCAGGCGCCCCTAGAATTCTGCATATTTAACGAGGTCCTCAGTAAGGCAGGTGCTCCTAGGGCAGGGACCACACTTTCAGTAGCAAGTCTGCGTCTAGACGGGTGACAGTCCGCAGGAGGAAGGCACAGTGACGATCTGTAATCCCATCTCCCTTCGCCTGACAGCGGGGCGCTGGGGGCCTGAGCGGCAGGTAGACCTGGAGCGCTTTGACCCAGAGCGCTTCTTCGGGATCCTGCTCAGGCAGTCTCACTCGGTGACAACCAAACTCGGCCAGACCAAGGAGGAGGTAAGTAAGTGGGAGCAACTGGAGAAGTGAGTGGGGCTGGACACGGATTCATCTCGGAAGGGAGCTAGTTACAGGACGCAGGGCCTGAAGAAATCCTCCGTCTATCCGTAAGGAATCAGGGAAACGGGGGAAATAGAAGGGAAGGGAGATAGAAGACTTCAGGTTGAATTTGGGGCTGATTTGATGAGGCTCTGGAGGCCTCAGATCAGTGATGGGGAATCTATTAGGGCCACTTGTGGAGTCTCTCCCATCCCCATTCCTGGTCCTCGGGAGCCCAGCTGGAATGAACAAGCTCAGGCCAGTTGGGAGCAAAAAAAAAAAAAAAAGAGAGAACACGCTGGTCGGCGGTCTGCGCGTGCGGGGACCTGCCTGGGCGGGTCTTCATTCCTTCCGAGGGTCTCGGTCTCGGGCACGGCGTGCTGTGGCGCCCTTCCACCAACCGGCGGCAGAGGGCGCTGTGACCAAAGCAATGAAAGCGTCCGCGTGGCTTCTGGAGCAAGTTCACAGGTGAACCCCGCCCTCTCGCACAGCTCAAACTCCTCTGCCGCGGACTCCTGAGCGAAGCCCGTTCTCTCCGGCAGCTGTGGGGTGCTGAGCGTCGCATCCCAGCCTCTACCGGCCAGCTTCTGGGGAGCCCCCCGAGCGAGCTGCAACAGGTCGGGCTGTGCTCACACCTTCCGGTCCGGTCCCTGTGCCCCAGTGGGATTCTCGGGTCTCGCTGATCCCAGGCTCTCCTTCCGGTCCCCCGTACCGCTCCTCCCCTCCCCCCCCACCCCCACCCCCGCCACCGTGGCCCCTCTCCAACTGCCCCCAAGGCTCTTAGCCCCAGCCCCCACCGCTGGGGCTTTCTCACCCCTTTGCCACTGCTGCAGGGCCTGCCCAGAATGTTCTGGAGCATTCTGGAGCATTCAGGGCAAGCTAGGTGCACGGCTCCTGGGCTGCTGTCCCTGGCGTCGGCAGCCCTGAGGGCAAGCAGGCAGGGGTGTCTCTGACCCCAGGCTGCTGAAGCGGCTGCCAGGGCGGCGGCGGCGGAGGCCGAGCGCAGGGGGCGCCTGGCGGGCCCATACGCAGCAAGCCTCGGTCACCAGCTGAGGCTCCTGCGCCGAGACCTCCGCGCCAGGAAGGAGCAGTGGGCCTCCTTCTGCTCCGCGCTGACGGCTGCTCGGCGGCTGCTGAAGGCGCAGGCGGGCTCCGGGCCCGCCAGGTCCTCCCGGGCTGGGCCGAACCCCGAAGGGTGTGTGTCCGCGGAGTGTGAGGCGGGCGGGCGCGGGGAGAGCTGCCCTGGGGTGGAGCGAGGACGGCTGCGGGCGTGCGCTCCCCGTCCCTGACTGCCCTTCCCCTGAGAGCCCCCACGCCCCGTGCCCCGCAGGGGGGTCCCCCGGCTGGAGGCCGTGCTGAGCTGCCTGTCCCGGGCTGTGCAGCAGGAGGGCCGCCGCCTGAAGGCCTGGGGCGTCCTGGGCACCGGCACGGGGGCAGAGCTGCTGCGGCCAGGTAGGCCCCCTCCGCCTCCGGCAGGCCCCCTGGAAACCTGGCCCTGCATCCCGGGTGGGCGGCGGGCCCTGCAGAGGCGAGGTCCCTCCCCTAAGACACCCTGCAAGGGAGGAGGGGGGGGCGGGCAAAGCAAAGTGGAAACCCCCAGGGTGGGGAGGGACTTCCTGGGCAGCGCCCCGGCTGCTGCAGAAGGAGCCTCAGAAACGGGAAGAACGGGGGAGGAGGAAACCGGCGAGGCTGCCACAAAGCATAGCTTTACACCTAAGGGAGCACCTCCTCCTGAGAGCGAAGGCCTGACACGGGGGTGCAAAAGCCACATTTGCAAAATGCTGGGCTTGCCTGGAAGCAAAGAGTGGGGAAAGGGTCCGGGCGGGTTCTCTGTGGGCACGCTGAGTTCTGGGAGCCCCCAGCCCCCTCCCCTCAGGTCACCCCATAGGCTGTCAAGACCATTTTCCCAAAGTCCCTCCAGGCACTGGCAGCCACCATGCCGCGTCTTCCCCTGCCCTTCGGGAGCACTTGCTACTGTGCTGTGGGTGGTACCAGCTCCTGGCCGGCCCCAGCCCAGGGAGCCCCCTCCTGCCCTCTGGGCCTCACGCCCAGGGCTGAGCAGCTGTTTGATTCCCCGCAGCCTCAGCAGGCCCTCAAGGGGGCGCCGATGACATCCATGTGGATCCCGTCACCACGCTGATGGTCCCAGGCCCCAACTGTGCAATGCTTCCCGCCAGTGGCCATGCTGGGTCCATACCCGCTGGCTACTTCGTCCACCCTGACACCGGGAGGGTGCTGCCCGAGGCTGGAAACCTGGGGTACGATCTGCAGAGAGCTGCCCTGGTGCCCACCACTGACTTCGGTTCCGGTGAGACCCTGACCGCGAAGCAGCGCCCGCCCAGCCCGGGGCTGCTGGGACCCTCTGGAATGAACCCTCAGGGGGCAGAGGGCAGGGCGCAGGGCTCTGTCCTTGCACAGTGAGGTATGATGACGAGCAGCGTGGTGAAGCCTCCTCCCCCTCCTCACTTGAGCATTCTGGCTGCAGAGGGTGCAGGTTGGAGAGGGCAGCTAGGCTCTGCAGGGCTGGGGCGGGGAGGCCGGCACGTCAGCAGGACCACCACCTCCCTGCCTCCCTGTCCAGGTGGCGTCCGAACGTCCGAAGCTGCCATCCTCCCCTACGTGCCGTACCCGACCTGCCCCGCCACAGGCTCCCCTCCAGCCGCCCGCCTGCCCGTCCTGCAGCCACGAAGGACGTCACAGCTGGGGGCTGTCATGACAGACCCCGCCACTGGCATCGAGGTGCCCGTGCTGGCTGTGACTCTGCACCCTCACACGAGGCAGTGGCTCGCTCTTGGGGGCACATACTGCAACCCGCTCACCAAGACCTTGGCCCCTCTAGAGCTGGGGGGCCCCATGGAGGATCCAGTCACCGGAGGCATCTGGCCGATCCTGGGAGTCGGGCTGGACGAAGACACAGGTGTCCTGGCTGGCAGGCTCGGTGCTGTGCCTTCAGCCTCTCCTGTCCGCCCCTGGCCCCCCAACCCCCCCAGCCCCCTGCACCCTCCGTGTTCTCGTCCAGGCTGCAAACCACCCCAGACCCCGCTTTCCACCCTTCCTCCTCACTCTGCTCTTCCCCACCTTCGTGCTGCGTCCCCTTCCCCATCTCCAGCGCAGGTGTCTGGGGAGGAAGGAGAGCCACGCTGGCTCTGCGTAAAAGTAAAAGGAGGTTTTCAACCAAGAGGAGGCGTTTCCTCCTCCCACCACCGTCTATACCCCTCGGGCCTCTCCCCCTCCCCCACCGTCTAGTCCCCCACGCCGGTCGCTTACTGTCTGCAGGCCCTGGCTCTCCTTCATGCCTCCTCCCCCTGCATCTCCGTTCTGACCCCCTCCTCCCTCACTCTCTGGGGTTCCAGGTCAGGTGCTTGCACTGGGCGGGCTGCGAGACGCCTCGGGGAACCTTATGTTGCCTGGCGACAGCTTTGAGGAGCCACTGAGCAGGAAGACAGTCCTGCTGCAGGGAGCTGCTCAACAGGAGGGCCGGACAGTGCCCCACACGGGAGGATCACAGGCCCTGCTGGACGCCAATGTGCTGGTGGCCCAGAGGCGGGTGCTTGCTGTGCTCCGGAGCTACCAGGAGAGGCCAGGGTCAAGGACACAGGAGCTTCTGGAGGCTGCCATCAAGGACATGAGACAGGCACTGGCCTTGAGTCTGCACCAGGTCCTGCAGCAGGCCCGGAGACTGCAGCGGCAGCTGGAGACAGCGGATGGCATCGCGGCCAGCGGAGGAAGGATAGGTACCTGTTGACCTTGACCTGGGCTCTCAGGCCCTGCAATCCCAGGTCCAGGATGACCTGGTGCTTCGATGCTCTCATCTCATTAGCTCAGGGACAGGACCGCAGCCTCACGGGTCACATACACAGGGGACCAAGGGAAGAGAGAAGGGACGTGATGACCTCATGCTCAACCCCATGAATGCTTGGCTTGAAATCTGCCCTCTCTTGCCAATCATGCTGGGTCTTTCGCTATGTTTGTGAAGTGTTTATTCTCTTGTTATTTCACAGGCCTCCTCACACCATAACGTGTTATAACACGCATTTTGCACTGAGGAGTCTGAGGTCCAGAGAGTTTCGTGACTTGCCCAACCAGGGTCCTATTGCTAGTGAGCGGCACAGCCAGGCCTGGGTCCTTGCCGCCCCTCTCTCTTTCATTCAGCCACAACCTCCAACTTCCCATTCATAAACTCAGAAGAGGAGTCACCCATCGCCTCCACCTCCCTTCTACCTCTACTACTACTAGGATGAGGATGGGCAAGGAAAGGAAGTAGGAGGGACACAGGGGCGCCTGGGTGGCTCAGTCGGTTAAGCGTTGGACTTGGCTCAGGTCATGATCCCCAAGTTCGTGGGTTTGAATCCTGTGTTGGGCTCTGTGCTGACAGCTTGGAGCCTGATTCAGGTTTTGTGTCTCCCTCTCTCTGCCCCTACCCTGCTCATATTCTGTCTCTCTCTGTCTCAAAAATAAACAAACAGAAAAGGAAATAGGAGGGACATCTTCCTGGAGCTTATCTCACTCTTTCTAGAAGCTTCTGCCTATGATGTGACAAAAAAGAACCAGGATTTGGGGCCAGAATTGACTCGAGTTTGAAGCTCTGTCTCACCATTTATTATGTTGACCTTAGTTTGGGCAAGTTCCTAAACCTCACTCTGCCTCTGTTTTAACATCTTTAAAGTGAGACTAAAAATAGTATATACTCCAGAGTTAGTTGTGCAACCAAATAAAATGTAATTTATGTGGACTTCTTAGTTCAGACTTCTAGTAGATAGAGGGTGCTCAAGAATATTTGTTTCCTTCTTCTACCTCTTTAATGTGGCCTGAAAATTGTTCTCAGCTTCTCAAAAGTCCTGATGCCATGCATTCTGAATTCAGAATGCTAAGCTGGGCCCCTGCCCTGCCCAGGGAAGCCTCTCTGTTTGAGCCTGGAACTTGACCCTCCACCCCCCTTCCCTGCTCCCTCCCCTTGTGTTAGGAATGATGTGCTATCCTGGGACAGAGCTGTGGGCCCCAGCCGTGTATGGGATGGAGATCCCAGATGCCGAGGGCTCGGGGCTCATGGTGCCCATCCTGGGCATGGAGACCGACAGGAATTCTGGTGACGCCACACCCCTGGCGGGTTCGATGGAAGATGCGGATGGCAAAGGTAGGAAGGAACTGGGGACCTGCGGAAGCCCCGGTGGGACCAGAAATGTGACTTCTCCCTGGGAGAGAAAGCCCTAGAAAGCTTAGGAGGGGTACCCCCACCCATTTCCTCATGAACCCCGGGGCCTTTCCAATGCCTCCACTATGGCTGCTGGGACCCAAAATAAAGTGCTCAGAGAATCCAGAACCCCAGGACCACAGGTCATTTATCCCCCTCTGAGAAAATTGGGTCCTTTCCAAAACCAGCCCTTCAGAACCTCACCCTCAGGGTCTGTGGTCTCCAGAAAGCCCTCCAATCCAGCTCAGAACCCCTCAAAGGGCAAAAGGGCTCCATTCCATCCGTGTCTTCCTCTTTCCATGACCACCCCTTCCTTCTTTCCCTCTTTCCCACAGGCCTTGTCCCAATCTCCATTGGGGCTCAAGCCATAGACCCTTTGACTGGGGAACCTGGTCCTGTCATTGGTGCTCAGAGGGACCCCTGCTCCGGAGTGGTGGTGCCCGTTGTCCAGGTGCTGGAGGCCCTGCCTCGGGGAGTGAGCGACCCCGGGCTGGTATGTAGGAGCGGTTTATGCTGTAATACACTGCTGTGTATTAAATACCCTCCATGTTCCAGGCACAGTGTTGGGTGGTGAGATCCAAAAAAACTAGTCAGGGCTCCTACCCTCAGGAAACCAGCGAGACTTCCCACCGTGATCAGGGTTTGTAAGGGCGTTAAGGGAGCCCGGAGCAGGGGCACCCAAATCACATGGAGGAGAGCTCAAGGCAGGCTTCCCTAAAAGGCCGCACTTGGGCTGAAAGCAGTAGGAGTCAGAAATGGCCTCAGGGGCCAGCAAGTACGAGGGTGGCAAGTTGTGAGACCATGACTTTTTCCAGGAGGGTCAGGGAGGTGTTGGGGCCAAAGCAGCAGGGGTGGCCGGTGAGGAAGGCAGGAAAGGGGTCACGAATAACCCTGGGTGCCCAGCTGAGGCCCAGAAATAGGACTTTATCCTGAAAGCCGTGGGGAGCCATGGAAAGATTCTAAGTAGACGTGTGATATGATCAGATACAAATACTTTTTAAGACTCTTAAATTTGGAAAACTTGACACAATACAAAAAAAAATAAATTACTCGTAATCCTACATTTTTTAAAGTATGTACATGAAGAAGCACAAGACCCCCCTCCTCCTCATTCCTGCACCCCATCTGCGTCAGCAGCCCCCCCTTCAGACACTGCTCACCACACCCCCAGTCTCCCACCAAATGCAGCCACTATTAACAGGTTGGCACACCTCCTTCCAGACATCTTTATGTGTGGATATGTATGCATATGTATAGTCAGCATTCTAGAAAGTTCCCTCTGGCAGCAGTGCAGAGGATGGATGGGAGCAGAGCCAGGCTGAAGCAGGAAACCCCATCAGGAGGTCACTGCAGTAACTCAGTCCTTGGCAGGCCTCCGCGAAAACGGAGGTAACTCAGGGTCCGCCTGTCTGTTCTCGGCCCAGTTCATTTCAGGAACAAAGATGGATGTGTTGTAAAAGAGTCTCGTTAGAAGCAAAGACATTTTAATTCTAGCCCCAACTCACAGTTTCACAAATGAGTATGAAGGGGTGATCTGAGGGGATGAGAACGATTTCCCGCTGCCATGCGCCCACCTGCCCTCCCGAGAGGAAGGTGGGAACGGGGGGCCAGGTGGCTCCAGAGAATCCAGGCATTAGAAGGAGCGAGGAGGAGGCTGGGAACTCGAAGAAGGAGCATGGGTATTATTTTTCCATCTACAACCAAGTCAGCCGCCTCACTAAGCTCAGCCATGGACCCCCAGGGGTGAGGGAGGCCTGTGTCTGGAGGAGCTCGGGCGGGATTCCTCCCAGACCCCAGGCCGGGAGGAGAAAGCGTGCCCGGGCCTCGAACAAGCTGGATGTTGCAGCCGGACGCCCTGGAGAAGGAGCGGAGAGCCCGGGAGCAGTACTGGTGCCTCCAGGAACGAGAAGAGGTGCGTCTGGCGGAACACCTGGGGCGCCTGAGCCAGGAGCTCCTCTCCACTCCGGGCAGAGGTGCCCAGCGACAGGTGAGGCCCAGAGGCGCCACTGCACGGTCCCCACCCAGTCCTTCACCCGGACTACACAGGTTTCTCTTGTAAGTGTGAAGCCTTTGTCTCCCCTGCTGACGGAAAACATGGAACCCGTCTCAGGGCAGACGAGTCCTGGGATCTTGGCCCCAGGCCCTAGACTCCGGTCACCGCTAAGTGTCTCCGGGAAGAGGCGGAGGAAGGCCAGCGCGGGGGGGGCCCAGCCCAGAGCTCCTGCCGCCCTCTCGGACGCCCCTTTCTCTGTCCTTCCCGCCCTGTGTAGCTGAGGGCTGCCGCGGAGGCCTGTGCGGCGCTGGGGGCGCGCCGCCTGCGGGAGACTCAGAGGAGAGCCGCAGCCCTGAGCGCGCAGGGCGGCCCGGAGCGGGGCCTGCCGTCCCAAGGTGGGCCCGCGTCCCCAGAGCACAAATCTCCTGGGAGTGGGGAGTCCCTCCTGCCCCCTGGGCGTGCTCCCCTCCCAGGCTCCCAGCCAGGCCCCGGCTCTGACCTGGCAGGTCCGCTCAACCACTGTCTTTCCTTCCCCGTCCCCCAGACGTGGCTGCCGTCCATGGCTCTTTTCTCTGCCCCCGCAGCAGACGGAGAGGAGGCGGAGCAGGAGGCACAGGTGGCTCTCGGCATGCACAGCGTCCTGCAGAGTCTAGGACACGCGGCAGAGAAACTCAGGCAAGCGGTGGGCCGTCTGCGGGGCCAGGAGGAGGAGATGTGGCTACAGCAGCGTGGGGGTCAGAGCCTCCAGCCCTGGAACCGGCTCAGGGAGGTGAGGCTCGGAGGCTGATAAGGGGACCCACGTACAATATGTACATACTCCTGTGTCGCGAGATGCGGTTCTTCAGGGCAATGTAATACTCAGGGATAGAATAGGGGCCACCCCCCCCCTCACCCGGAGCAGTGGATGGGCTGCGAGGGGAACAAGAAGAGAGACAAAAGCTCTATTTTCATTCGCGCGTTTCATTTCCTGTGCTCTAGGTGGTTCAGCATCTCTCTGATGAGTTTCAGGAGGTGCTAAGGGAGCGACAGAGCTTCCTGGAGAGAGCCCTCGGTCACTTGCAGTACCAGCGGGAACTGAGCCGCCTCCACCTCTTGCACACCCAGGTACGGACTCTGGACTCGACCAAGGAGATCTGCGTGTCCCGTTTGGTGGGGGCTTCAGAGAGAAGCTCCCAGAACGGCCACATGGGACAGGTGAGAGCCATGCGTGGAACGAGGTGCTGACTGTTCCGTCCTAGATTGTTGCCTCAGGAACACCTGCGTGTCTGGAGAATTACCCTGGAGACAGATTCTACGGAACAGTCACCGCTTCTCTAAGGGACCGGGCCTCTGCCTGCCCACTCTTGATCCCCTTCTTGAAGAGCCTCACTGCAGCACTAGTGGGAGCTCAAGGTTGTAGCCCAGGACCGGAGGATCAGGGGCCAGGAACAGGTAAGGCCGGCCCAACATTCACTCGGCTGCCAACGCTGATCGTGTTTTGATAACTTCTAAGAAACCATTAGGGCCTCCACACTGTTAAGAGTGTGGGTGCAGTACATTCTTCAGGAAGAATATAGAGAAACCCAATGTATTGGTTACATATTGCTGGGTAATAGACTACCAGAACATTCTGTGGCTCAAAACCACAAACATTTATTATTTCTCAGTTACGGTGGGTCAAGAATCTGGGTGCAGCTTAGCTAGGGCCCAGTGGCTCAGGGTCTCATACAGGCTCCATCAAGGTGTTGGGCCAGAGCTGCAGTCATCTATCTCAAGGTTCACCTGGGGAATCAGTTCCCTGCCACATGGACTTCATAGGACAGCTCACAACATGGCAGCTGGCTTCCTTCAGAGCAAGCAAGTGAGAAGGGGCGAACAAAATGGAAACCACAGTCTTTCTGTATCCGGATCTCATTACTTGAGCCATATTCTGTTCATTAGAAATGAATCACTCGATCCAACCCACACTCAAGGGCAAGGGATAACACAGGGCGTGGATACACATGGGGGAATCATGGGGCCATCTTACAGGCCATTTGTCACTTGTAACACTACATCTGGCTCTTTCTTATTTCACCACAATCCTGTGCTCTTACTGCAACAGCTATCTGCCCCCTGTGCAGATGCAGATAAAGTTGACATCATGTGGACTTCACCACTCTTTTCTACCGTGAAGAAAGTAGACATCTGGTCCCAAGCCCACAAGGAAGAAGCTGAACTACAAGCACAAATGCATCACCAACAAGGTACCCCCTTTCCCTTTAGCTCCTGCCTTGGAACTTTCACAGTGCACTGCATGTGTTGGATGGTGTGACCCCAGGACCTAGGAAAGTCAGAATCTTGCCTCAGCAATCATCCCTTTCTCTTCACCCTCAACCTAAAATTCCCAAGGGATTTTTCCATATAAGGAATAACAATTAGGAGTCGAAGTCCCATTGTAATGTTAACACCGCCAGTTTCAAAAGGAAATTCCTAAAGGCCCCCTACCTTCCCACTAAACACTAAACCTAAATCTTGGGATTTTATCCCATACTAGCCAGCCACATGTTACAAGGAGTTAATGGAAAGTGTGAGACGCAGGGAAACAGGCAGAGGAGACAAAGAAAAGGAAGACCTTGCACCAAAAAGGGACTCCGGATCACTTTACCAATACCACCCCTTGACATTAGCAGTCAAAGGAAAATGTGGCCTGCCTTGCCCTGAAGAATTAGATCTGTTTCAAGCCACTCAGCTCCCAAGTGGAAGAGGATTAAAAGGAAATACCTATGCCTTTCAGTTGACCACAATGCAGGCCATTGGTCAACACAATTCCATAAACATCCTTGAATTTGACCAGGGATCAGCAAACTAGGGCCCTCAGGCCAATTCCAGCCAGCTGTCTTGTTTCCTGTGACCCACAAGCTAAGAATAGTTTTACATTTGTAAATGATTGGGGTGGGGAAAGTCAAAAGAAGAATAACATCTTTACGTAGTGTTTTGCAATTTGTTGTGCAGTATCATCACTCTTCCGGATGTTAGCTCCTTTAATCTTTACAACAACCCAGTGAAGTAGGTACTCTTACTCATTTTATAGATTGGGAAGCTGAGGCATCTCAATAGGTCAAGTGAGTTGTCAAAAATCATGTTGCTAACAAGGAGTTCAGCTGGAATTCAATCCCATAGGCTGTGCTCTTAACCTGCTTCCCCATATGGAAAATTATCCAACACTATAAAAGCAATGCCAAAAGGGAGATACAGGCAGTCCATTGTGGTGAGTCCCCAGGAGGACAGATCACTCTGTTTTAGAGAAGGAAAGGAAAGCACTGTGGGAGATGGAGGCCACACTTCAACCACAATGATGGGAACACTGAATTTGAGCCCCACTTTTGCCTCTTGGTCAGCAATGCCTAAAATATTTATTTTCGGACACTTTATAGAAAATGTTTGCTGACCCCAGAACTTGACCAATATTAGTATTAATTTCCCCTCTCTTTGAGGGAAGACTAAGAAGAGTGTAAACAGAGAGGTGGGTTCTCACCCACACTTGAACCTCCATTGTCTTACAATGGTACTGACTTTATGATGTTGAAAGCAATTTTACATGCATTGTCTTGTTTACCCCGGTAATTGAAACTCTAATTCTGTAAGATGGTGAAAGATTATTAACGTATATTTTATAGATGAAAAAGCTGATGTTCAAAGAAGTTTAGTGTCTTTCCCAGGGTCTTCCAAAACCTGGATCAGAACTCGGGTTTTCGGCTGCTAGCTCAGTACTCTTTCCTACGCCATGCTACCTAAGCTTTTTTTTCATTGTCTTCTCAAAAATAAAGAGACCATACAAAATGTTTAAAGACCCAAGGCCCATTAGAGGCAATTCTGTGAGGAAGTAAGATGATTTTGTTAATACAGCTAGCATTTACGGAGCGCTTACTGTGTGCCAGACCCAGTTCTGAGTACATTACATTTAGTGCTCCAAACAACCCTATGAAACAGTAGAAGAAAATTGGTTGCCATCTTTTCCAGATTCTCATTTTTTTTGTTGCTGTTCTGGCACCTCTGTTCCTATTGCTTTTCCATGAAAATGGACAATCGGATCTGAGGCACAGTGCACATATATGACGTGGGTGGATGGATCAATCGATGCAAATACACATTTTCCTAAGCTGAACTGTGTTGTTGTTGCTCTTATGAAAATACTGTCATTACTGGACACAAAAATCAGTGAAGTCATTACTGTTTTCTCTTTATCTCTGTAGCCCCAGAAAGCTCTTTGCAGGATGCCCCGAAACCTCAGATAATGCACAAAGAAGAGCTTATCACCGTGCAAGCCACAGACCTTTCTGCCAGGGAGTTTGTGGTTTACCAGTATGGCCTCTCCATCCTGGACCTCCTCATCCCCCAGCTTCAGGTACATCTGGTTTCCTGCCTCTCTCTGGAGCAGCCATCAGGCAGCCAAGATGGTCAAGGTGACCAGGGAGGAGGCTTTCAGGCGGTAGACACACCTTAGGATTAAGCAGCTGGAATAGAGTAGTTAGAGTCTCTCTTTTAAGGGGACTGATAGAAGTCATTTTACCAATCTACAGTCTAATGTCTCAAATGATGGTGAGTAGAATCAATTAAGCACTTTGTACATGCCAGAAAATGTTCTAATAACCTGCATGAACTAACTCATTTAATCATGAAAACCCTATGACATACTATTATTTTTTCTCATATTTTTGTTCAAGTATAATTAACATACAGTATTATGTTAGTTTCAGATACACCTATAGTAATTCAACAATTCTCTACATGACTTAATGCTCATTGTGATAGGTATGCTCTTAATCCCCTTCACCAATTTTCCCCACTGCCGCCCCCACCTCCACTCTGGCAACCACCAGTTCTCTATATTTAAGAATTTGGTTTTTGGAGAGCCTGGATGGCTCAGTCGGTTAAGCTTCTGACTTTGGCTCAGGTCATGATCTCGCAGTTGGTGGGTTCAAGCCCCACATAAGGCTCTATACTGACAGCTCAGAGCCTGGAGCCTGCTTCAGATTATGTGTCTCCCTCTCTCTCTGCCCCTCCCCTACTTGCACTTTGTCTCTCTCAAAAATAAATAAACATTAAAAGTTTTTTTAAAGAATTTTTTTTGTCTGTCTCCTCTTTGTTTTGTTTCTTAAATTCCACTTATGAGTTAAATCATACGGTATTTGTCTGACTTATTTAACTTAGCATAATGCCCTCTAGGTCCTTCTATGTTGTCACAGATGGCAAGATTTCGTCCTTTTTTGTGGCTGAGTATTCTGCCATTATATGTCTATGTCTATATCTATATCTATATCTATATCTATATCTACCACATCTCTTTTATCCAGTCATCTACTGATAGACACTGGGGTTGCTTCAGTATCTTGGCTATTATAAATAATGTTGGAATAAACCTAGGGATGGATATATTTTCTCAAATCAGTGTTTTCATTTTCTTTGGGTAAAAATCCAGTAGTAGAATTACTGGATCATATGGTAATTGTATTTTTTTAATGTTTTACTTATTTTGAGAGAGAGAAAGAGAGTATGCTATCAGAGAAGGAGCAGAGAGAGAGGGGGAGAGGGAGAGAGAATCCCAAGCAGGCTCCACACTCCACACAGAGCCCAACGCTGGACTCGATCCCACAACCCTGGGATCATGACCTGAGCTGAAATCAAAAGTCAAACACTTAGCTAACTAAGCCACCCAGACACCCCAGTAATTTTATTTTTACTTTGTTGAGGAACCTTCATATTGTTTTCCACAGTGGATGCACCTGTTTGCTTTCCCACCAGTGGTTCACAAGGCTTCCTTTTCTCCATGTCCTCATCAACACTTGTTATTTCGTACGTTGTTGTTTTTTTATTTTAGCCATTCTGATAGGTGTGAAGTGATATCTCATTGCGGTTTTGATTTGCATTTTCCTGATGATGAATGATGTTGAGCATCTTTTCATGTGTCTGTTTGGCATCTGTATATCTTCCTTGGAGAAATATCTATTCATGTCCTCTGCCCATTTTGAATCAGATTGTGTGTGTGTGTGTGTGTGCACGTGTGTGTGTTTTGGTGTTGAGTTGTAATGAGTTCTTTATACATTTTGGATATTAACCCCTTATCAGAAACAAATATCATTTGCAAATATCTTCTCCCATTCAATAGGTTGCCTTTTGTTTTGTTGATGGTTTCCTTCACTTTGCAAAAACTTTTTATTTTGGGGTAGTCCCAATAGTTTAATTTTATTTTTGTTTCCCTCAACCTAGGAGACATATGTAGAAACTGTGTTGATGGTCAATATCAAAGAAATTACTGCCTATGTTTTTTTCTAGGAGTCTGTGATTTCAGCTCTCACGTTTAGATCTTTAGCCCATTTTGAGTTTATTTTTGTGTATGGTGTAAGAAAGTGGCCCATTTTCATTCTTGGACATGTGGCTGTCCAGTTTTCCAAACACATTTGTTAAAGAGGCCATCTTTTTCCCATTGTATACTCTTACCTCCTTTGTCATAAACTAATTGACCGTAAAAGTATGGGTTTATTTCTGGACTCTCTATTCTGTTCCATTGATCTATGTGTCTCTTTTTGTGCCAATACCATACTGTTTTGATTACTACAGTTTTGTAGTATATCTTGAAATCTGGAATTGATATACTTCCAGCATTGTTTTTCTTTTTCAAGATTACTTTGACTATTCGAGGTCTCTTGTGGTCCCATATACATTTTAGGATTATTTGTGCTAGCTCTGTGAAAAATACTATTGGTATTTTGATTGGGATTGCATTAACTCTGTATATCGCTTTGGGTAATATGGAAATTTTAGCAGCATTTGTCCAATCCATGAGCGTGGACTATCTTTCCATTCATTTGCATCATCTCCAATTTCCTTCATCAGTGTTTTATAGTTTTCAGAGTACAGATCTTTCACCTTCTTGGTTAAGTTTATTCCTAAGTGTTTTACTATTTTCAGTGCAATTGTAAATGGGATTCTTTTCTTAATTTCTCTTTCCACTACTTCATTATTTGTTATAGAAATGGAACATATTTCTGTATATCAATTTTGTATCTTGTGAGTTTACTGAATTCATGTATCAGTTTTAATAGTTTTTTAGTGGTGTCTTTTGGGTTTTCCATATATAGTATCACGTCACCTCCAAATAGTGAAAGCTTTACTTCTTCTTTACCAGTGGGATAAGTATTTCTTTTTCTTGTCTGATTGCTGTGGCTAGGATTTCCAGTGCTATGTTGAATACAAGTGATGGGAGTGGAGATCCTTGTCTTGTTCCTGATCTTAGAGGGAAAGCTCCCAGTTTTTCACCATTGGGTGTGATGTTAGCTGTGAGCTTTTTATAAACAGTCCTTACTATGTTGGGATATGTTCCCTCTAATCTACTTTGTTGAGGGTTTTTATCATGAACGGGTGTTGTACTTTGCCAAATGCTTTTTCTGCCTCTATTGAGATGATCACATGGTTTTTATCCTTTTTCTGTTAATGTGATGTATCTTTTTTTTTTTTTTTTTTATTTCTAGGAGAGAGAGAGAGAGACAGCGTGAGCAGGGGAGGGTCAGAGAGAGAGAGGGAGTCACAGACTGAAACAGGCTCCAGGCTCTGAGCTGGCAGTCAGCACAGAGCCCGACACGGGGCTCGAACCCACGAACCGCGAGATCATGACCTAAGCGAAGTCGGACGCTTAACCGACTAAGCCACCCAGGCGCCCCTAATGTGATGTATCTTGTTGATTGATTTATGAATATTGAACCACACCTGGCACCCCTGGAATAAATCTTACTTGATCATAGTGAGTGATTTTCTTTAATGTATTGTTGGATTCAGTTTCGTAATATTTTGTTGAGGATTTTTGCGTCTATGTTCAACAGAGATATTGGCATATATTTTTTTTGGGGGGGGGGTTGTAATATCTTTATCTGACATTGGTATCAGGATAATTCTGGCCTCATAGAATGAATTTGGAAGCTTTCCTTTCTCTTCTGTCTTTTGGAATGGTGTGATAATAGGTATTGCCTCTTCTTTAAATGTTTGGTAGAATTCATGCGTGAAGCCATCTGGTCCTGGACTTTTATTTGTTGGGAGGTTTTTTTTTTTTATTAACACTGATTCAGTTTTATTGCTAGTAATCAGTCTGTTAAAATTTTCTATTTCTCCCTGTTGAAGTTTTGGAAGATTATATGTTTCTAGGAATTTATCCATTTCTTCTAGGTTGTCCAATCTGTGGGCTTGTAAGTTTTCATAATATTCTCTTATAATCCTTTGTATTTCTGTGAAGTAGGTTGTTGTTTCTCCTCCTTTATTTATTTGAGTCATTTCTCTCCCTCTCCCTTCCCCTCTCCCTCCTCCTTCCCTCCCTCTCCCCCCTCCTCCCCTCCCTCTTCCCCCACCTCCATCTCCATCTCTCTCTATATATTTTATGAGTCTGGCTAAAGGTTTATCAATTTTATTGATATTTTCAAAGAACCAGATCCTCAGTTCATTGATCTGTTCTAAATTTTTAGTCTCTATTTCATTTATTTCTACTCGAATATTTATTTTTCCTTACTTCCGCTGGCTTTGGGCTTGTTTGTTCTTCTTTTTAAAGCTCCTTTATTTGTAAGGTTAAGTTGTTTGAGAATTTTCTTGCTTCTTGAGTGAGGCTTGTATTGCTATAGTCCTTCCTTTTACAACAGCTTTTGCTGCATTCCAACAATTTGAGACCATTGTGTTTTCATTTTCATTTGTCTCCATATTTTTATATTTCTTCTTTTATGTGTTGGCTAATTTGTTGTTTAGCAACATTTTATTTAGCCTCCATTTAGTTGTGTTCTTTCTAGATTTTTTCTTGTGATTGATTTCTAGTTTCATCCCATTGTGGTTAGAAAATATTCATGCTATGATTTCAATCTTTTTAAATTTTTTTGAGACTTATTTTGTGGCCTAACATGTGATCTATTTTGGAAAATATTCCATTTGCACTTGAAAATAATCTGTATTCCACTGTTTTGAGATGAAATATTCTGAATGTATTTGTTAGATCCATCTGGTCCAATGTGTGATTCAAAGCCACTATTTCCTTGTTGGTTTTCTGTCTAGATGATCTATTTATTGCTATAAGTGAGGTGGTAAAGTCCCCTACTGTTATTATATTACTATTGATTTTTTCCCTTTATGTCTGTTAATAGTTGTTTTATGTATTTTGGTGCTTTCATTTTGGGTGCATAAATATTTACAGTTGCTATATATCCTTGTTGGGTTATTCCCTTCATCATTAGGTAGTATTCTTCTTTGTCTCATATTTTTTGTTTTAACATCTATTTTGTCCAATAGAAGTATTACTACCTTAGTTTTCTTTTTGCTTCTATTTGCGTGATAAGAGTTTTTCCATACCTTTACTTTCAATCTGTGTCTTTAGGGCAAAGTGAGTCTCTTGTAGGCAGCATATAGATGGGTCTTGCTTTGTATCCATTCAATCAAGCTCTGTCTTTTGACTGGTACATTTAGTCTATTTACATTCAAAGTAATTATGGAGGGTATACAAGTGGCTGTGTTCTCCTGTTAGAATGTCCAAAGTAATTATTGATAAGTATGTACTTTTGCCATTTTGTTAGTTGTTTTATGATTGTTTTGTAGTTCTTCTCTGTTCCTTTCTTCTCTTACTCTCTTCCCTTGGATTAGTGGCTTTCTTTAGTGATGTGCTTGGACTCCTTCCTCTTCATTTTTTGCCCATCTATTATAGGTTTTTGGTTTGTGGCTACTATTAGGTTGATATATAACATCCTATGTAGATAGCAGTCCATATTAAGTTGATGATCACTTACGTTTGAACCTATTCTAAAAGCACTAAAATTATACTTCCCTCCTTCACATTTTACCTATACGATGCCATACTTTACATCCTTTTATGTTGTGAATACTGTGACTGATTTTTATAGATATAATTGATTTTACTGCTCTTGTGCTTTAACCTCCATACCAGTTTTGTAAGTGATTAATCTATTTTTATCATGTTTGTATTTACATGTGACATTTTTCTTTCCTAAATTTTTTACTCCTGATTATGGCCTTTTGTTTCCACTCAAAAATTCCCTTTAATGTTTGTTGTAAGGCTGATCTAGTGGTGATGAACTGCCTTTACTTTTGTTTTTCTTGGAAACTGTTTCTCTCTCCTTTTTTTCTGAATTGTAGCATAGCTAGATAGAATATTCTTTGTTGCAGGTTTTTCCTTTTTAGCCCTTTGAATATATCCTGCCACTCCCTTCTGGCCTGCAAAGCTTCTGCTGAAAAATCCACTCATAGCCTTATGGGGTTTCCCTTGTATGTAATGATTTTATTCTCTCTTGCTGCTTTTAAAATTATCACTACTGTTTCCCATGTTAATTATTATGTGTCTTGGTGTGGACTTCCTTGAACGGATTTCACTGGGGCTTTCTTTGTCCACTGGGTCTCAATATCTGTTTCTTTCCCCATGTAAGGAACATTTACAGCTATTATTTCTTCTAATAAGTTTTCTCCCCCCTGCTCTCTGTCTTCTCCTTTGGAATCCCTACGATGGGAATGTTAGTACACCTGATGGTGTCACTGAATCCCTCTAACCTCTTTTCTTCTTTTTGTTCCTGTTGAGCTTGTTCACTTGTCATTACCGTCTTCTAGCTCACTGATCCGTTCTCCTGCATCCTCTAATCTGTTCTTGATTTCTTCCAGTATATTTTCAATTCCAGCTATTGAGTTATTCTTCTATTATTGGTTCTTTTCTCTGTTTTCCATGTCTTTGTTGAAGGTCTCACTGAGATCCTCCACTGTTTTCTCATGTCCAGTAAGTATCTTTATGACCATTCCTTTGAATTCTCTATCAGGTACATTGCTTATCTTCATTTCGTTGAGCTCTTTGCTGTGATTTTTGTCCTGTTCTTTCATTTGGGACATACTCCTCGGTTTCCTCATTTTGTCTAATTTTGTGTTGGTTTCTATGTGTTAGGAAAGTCAGCTGAGTCTCCTGCTCTTGAAAGTAGTGGCCACATGAAGAAGTCCTGTAGTGCCCTAGAGTACAATGCCCCTGCTTAGCAGACCGGATGCTTCAGTAGTATCTCCTATGTATGTTGTGTGCCCCTTACTGTTGCCACTGAAATGTGTTTGCTTTCAGTCCAGTCAGCTCCAATGACCCACTTTGCCTATTGTGGGCAGGGTTTTGTCCCTGCACTCTTAAGGGGCCAGTCTGGGGCCACTGTGGGCTTACAGTTGTATCCGACCAGATGCCTGCCCTCGGCTCATGTGCCAAGGCTTTAGTCACACTTAACTGCTTTCCCTGTGTTGTCCCTTGAGAGCCTTTTGTTGGTTGGTGAGGCCTGCAGTCAGACCATGTGTCTTTCTCCAGTCCCTCTGTTAGGGTTGCAGTGACCCTGAACTACAGGGCTCTTTCCTTGTACTGCCCACTGTGAGATTTTTGTTGGTAGGTGGGATTAGCAGTCATTTGAGACGTCTGCTCCCAACCCATTGCTGGGGCTGCAGTTGAATGGGTGTGTATGGTTATCTCCCCGTTTCACTGGGGGTTTGGTTCCCAACCTTGTCCCCACACCCACCTACCTCCTACTCCTCTCTATGACTAACTGTGAAGAGTCTGCTCTACAGTGTTCAGATCATTTTCTGGGTCAGCTGCACTGATATGGCTGTTATCTACGTATATCAGTGGGACGAGGAGACCTTAGGATCCTCCTACTCTGTCATCTTCCCAGGCTCCTATATCTATTTATTTCCTCATTTTAAAAATAAGGTGGGAAAATGCAAAGTGGTTGATTTAACTTACCCAGGATCACACAACCAAAAGGGTAGAGCCAGGTGAGGAATGAGGCATTGCGCTTCAGAGCCCCCATGCTTGACCACCACACTCGATTTAGGAAAGTAGTAAGTTAATGCTTATAATTAGCATAAATATCAAACACAGAAATACTCTTCCCACTTTTTTGTAGTGTCTACTGAATCTCCTTATCCTGTTACAATTTAAATTGCTGTTCCAATGCCTTTACTTCCCATTAATTTCGTTGGTGCTGTGGAGCTGAGCCACATGAGAATTTTTTAGCAAGAGGATGGGTTTTGGTTTTGATTTTGTTTCTTATTCTTTTCAGGTTCCTGAAATCACCCTGCAGATTGCTTCTCATCTTCCTGCTGCAGAAGCCTCAGACAATGACTTCGAAGGCTCCTTCTTCTTTCAGGTGCTTCAAATTCAGTCCCAGATGCGGGTTTGTAGAATTCTAGGGTCCAAAGAGATAGAAGCAAAGAGAACAAATGTTATAAAACATTTTTCTCTCTCAAGTCCTGACATATTTTATCCCTCTTGGTCATAAGTCATTTAGTAAGGCATAATAAATGTCACCACGGAAAAGCTTTCTTTTAATTAGTGAAATGAATATGTCTCGGCTTGAGCCCAGAGAATCATAAGGGCCTTGTGCCCGTTGATGAATCTCTGTCATCAGAGTTGGTGGTTCCAGACTGGTGTTTCCCATAAGAGTAATGGTTCCAGCTTCTGCAAATCCTGCACAGTCAGCATCTTTCCACAGAAAGGGATTGAAATTGTTCCTGTACTTGCAGTTCCTTGAGTATGTAGGATTGGCAGTGCCTTTGCGGTAGCCCTGAGCCAGTGTACACAGACCTTAAACGCTGACAACAGTTCATTGGTAAACAATGATTATGAGAGGGGGCACTGCTAACCAATGCTAGAGGACCAGGATACAATTCACACTTGACCAGCTGATTGTTGGGGAATTTAATAAGACCAGAAAGAATTCATACAGTGTTCCCTCCAGGCATCATTTCACTTGATCCTCAAAACAGTCTATGATGCAGGCAAGAATTTAATCCCATTTTCCTGATGAGGAAACAAACTCAGGATTCACTGAGTACTGGAGTCCTGTCTGTCAAGCATTTGACCACATGCCTTACATGCATTATATCATTTACAGTTTACAACAACCCAACCCAACAGGTGGGTATTCTTATTATCTCCATTTTATGATTTAAGAGATTGAGACCCATTGAGGCCAAGTGACTCTCCCAACATCACAGTGTTAGCAAGAGTTTAAACTCAAATCCAGGTGTATTTGAACACCAGACTCCTTGTGTAACCTCTATTCTGTGCTGTCCCCCAGAGCTCATTCCAGGGACAGATTTCAAGACTATCTGACTCCAAATTACTTAATGCTTTTCCAAGGCAACCTATTGCCTGAACAAGGGAGTTATTTCAAGTCAGTTAGACAAGACAGGATATTTGAGAACCTGATTACAATAAAGGCCGAAAAGACAAAGTAAGTCAGAGAGCCTTTTAAGGCATTGATTCTCAAACTGAGGTCCTCAGACCCTGTGCATCAACCACCTGGGGAGCTTGGAAAAAAATGGAAATGCCAAGGTTTTCCCTAAACTAGCCCACAGAACCAGATATTCTGGGATGGGCCCACAGAAGAGTATCACTCCCTTGTGATTCTTATCCACACATAAAGTTTGAGAACCACTACTTAAGGGAACAGTCTTTGGAGGACAATTGATTTAAAAAAAAAAAAAACAGATGCTAATACTTTATTTCCTATATGATGGGTGTAGCAAAAAATAGGGAGACAGTGGGGAACATGATTTATTCAGGGAGTTAAACTAAAGCAATAGTTTTTACCTTGTCATCAGTAAATATCCATTAAGCCCAGGGAATCTCTGACTTTATGATTTCAAAAGTTACTTTGGAGCACATAAAACCAGGAAAAGAAAGAGGTGGAGATGTTCCCTGAGGTTGACATCTCTGTGTTTGGGTATCTCCTCTACTAAGAGCGCCGAAAACATACTGTTTGTTGGGAGACAGTCTTTGGCATCTGTGGGAAGTTTCATTCTGCTGCTGATCCGCTGCCTGGCCCACATCGCTGCCAAGGACTTCCACCAGGACTCAAACCCTGCCTTTCTGAGGTCATTTTACAAGGTATTTATAAAAACGCACAGGGCTCTTTGCCTCTCTCCCAGAATAACAAATTCCTTAAGCTGTGCAACATTTCAAAGCTACTTAGAGGTCCCATTGTTGGCCTCTGGTTCCTACTGCCTGGCCAGGAAGAAGGTTTTCCTGATAATTTCCTGTGGCAGCCTATAACAAACTGCTTGTGCCACTCTGTAAGAATTCAGAAAGAGGTGGCCTTCCTATGTGAGTGGCATCACAGCTTTCTGTGGTTTCCTTACCAACACATAAGGCTTTCCAGAATTGCAAAGGACAGTAATAACCCACGGTCAGGGCAAGTAAAGATGATGGATATCAAACCCCATCTTTCTTTCAGCAAATATTTTGAAGCTTTAATAGTAATTATCTAGAATGGAACTGATCTGGCCATTTCCTTGACCAGGGCTTGCAGGCTTATTTCAGGGAAGCATTCTCTGTCACGCTGCAAATGTCAGCGGTTTCCTGGGACAGTAAGCTTGACCGAAGCATAAGTGCTATTCTGCTGGAAGAGCAGCCCACCTCTGAGACAGGAAGAGATCTTCTCTCTAAACTCATTGAGAGGAAATGTGAGTCTCACTTGGAGCCAGAGTCATCGGAAGAGGTAACTAACCTTAACTGGCGTAGCACATGTTGGTTGAAGATTAACTTCTTCACGGAGTAAATGCCTCCATGTCTGACCTATTCAGATACTTCTGGCCTCCTCAGGTGGTACACTGCCTTGACACCCAGCCTGCTCCTCAAACCACGTACGACAATATATTTTTCTAATCCTGTGTTCTGCAAGGCTGATTGTAGGTATCTGGCTCTTTGAGTTATGAGGATTGCAGGTGTGACCCTGTAGTTACTTTGGTCCCACTAACCTATTTATCAATTTGCAGAATTCCTTCTATAAAATTCACTGTGACTCAATGACTAAATTTAGATGTCCAGGTGGTAGCTTATTTACCCAACTTACAGTGTGCTGTTTTCTATGCAAGCCTGACAGTGGTACTCTTACTATGTTATTTAAAGTGCTTTTAGGAGAATATTATCATATTTAACTATTAAAAATACCACAAAGTCAAAAATCTGGGATCTTAAAATTGTCATCCTTCATCAGTTCATTCTTGAGTTGTATCTTTTTCGCATTATTCATATAAAACTTTATGAATTTCAAAGCATTTTTATGTATATGTTCTCTCGTATATTCTCTCTCAGCCAGCAATCCAGAGAATAGGTAGCATACATATTTTTAGTCACATTTTGTATTTAGGGAAATATTAAGCAATTTGCCCCAAATCATGAAGCTATTTGTAGTGGCAGATCTGAGATCAGACTCTAGATCTCCTGACTCCTAGTAAATGTTTCATATACACCTGTCTATGATCAGATCCCCATTAGCTACCAAGGCAGAGATGTACTTTGTGGTTGCTGATGGTGATGGTGACCGTGGTCATCCAGACTCCAGAATCAATCCCACCCTAGCCCCGAGAGACCACAGAGAATGCTCCGTTCTCTCTCCGCATTTAGCAGCAGCATCTGACACATCTAATGACTTTCTCCTCCTCAGTACAATCTTCACTTGGCTCCCAGGACACCAGAGTCCTCTGGTTCACCCCTACCTGTCTGGCTGTTCCCTCTCAGTCTCCTTTGCTGATCCCGCCTCTTCTCCCTAGCCTGTTCATGTTGGAGGGCCAGGATTTATTCCTGTCCTTTTCTCTGTCTATATTTGCTCCCCTTAGGGATCTCATCCTATCTTCTAGCTTCAAATCCCATCCATATGTCAAGGACTCTCAAATTTTTATCTCCAGCCCCACCCAACTCACTAACTCAACTCAACTGCTTACGAGCCATCTCCACTCCCATGTCTAAGAAGCGTCTCAAATTCAACATGCCCCAAACCCATCTTCTGTCCAGACCTCCTCTACTAGAAACCTTTCCCATCTCAGTTGATGGCAACTGGTTTCTCAGGCCAAAGTCTTCCCTGAAACCTCTCTGTTACAAACACTCTGTTACAGTCCATCTGGAGATCCTGTCTCTCTCCCTGCAGAGTATATTCATAATATGACCACATCTCATTGCCTACAGTGCTACCAGCCTGGTGCAAGTCCACCTCATCTCACCTGGATTACTGTAATGCTTACTAGCTGGTCTCCCTGATTCCGACCTGGCCTCTCCTCAGTCCGCCTCTCAGCACATTGGTCAGAGGGATCTTTTTCAAATGCAAATGATCTGCTCAAAATCCTGCTGTGGCTCGCCATCTCACTTAGAGTCAAAGCCAAGGAAGCCAAGTGCCCTTGTCTCTCACCCCCTCACCTGCTACTCTTCCCCTTGGTCAGTCGTGTCCAAACCACACTTTCTTCCTTGCTGTTCTTCACACACACCAGGTGCACTGCCCTCTGCCTGCGACAGCAGTGGTTCTCAACCACGAGCAATTGTATCCCCCACAGGACATTTGGCAACGTCTGGAGACATTTCTGATTATCCTGCTCCAGGAAGGGGGCTATTGCTGTTACCTGGTGGAGAGAGGCCAGGGAAGCCCCTGAACAGCCTACCGTGCATAGCGCAGTCTCCACAACAAAGTATTATCCATCCCAAGATGTCAAGATGACCTGAGGTTGAGAGACCCTGGTCTAAGGAGTTAGAGCATGCCCAACTCCCTCACTCCTCCAGGACTTTGTTCAAGTGTCACCTTCCCAGTGAGCCCCGCGCTGACCAGCCCATCTTCGTTTGCAACCCTCTTTTTTCCTGTTCATCAGCTTCTCCCTACTCGGCTCTGCTTTCCTTTCTCCTGTATCACTTCCTAACCTACTATGTAATTTACTTACTTAGTATCTTCTTTAATACATTTCTTCCCCTAATAGAACATAAGCTCCATGAGCGCAGAGATGTTTGTCTGTTTTGTTTCCTGATACAGCACATGTTCCAGGCTCAGAAGTAGGCTTTTAATATATTTATTATATTAATGAACAGGTCTGTGTAGACCCTGCTGCTGTAAACTGAAACATCCCAATCTACCAGAGGTAACCCCAAGGCAGGGAGTAGCAGACATTTATCACGTACTTGCCATGTGCCAGCTGTTCTGCTGAGAGTTTTACACACATCACCTCATGTAATCTCCCCTATGCCCAAATAAGGTAGATGCCACTTTTATTCCTAACTTACAGATGAGAAAACTGAGGCTTAGGAGTGGTGAAAACTTGCCCACAACAGAGGTGGTCGTGGAGCTGGAATGCTAGTCCTCTGTCAACCACCATTTAGGGAGAGGTCTTGCTTTTATTTTAAAAGCAGAATCGTATGTACTGTGCTCAGATCCACAGTCTGGCTAAGAATATCCGAGAGAGTACTTAAAGGAGATGGGAGCAAAGCTATTAACTCTCTCCTCCACACTCTCCACAGTATATTAAGAAAAACAAGGATCTTCTCCTCTTCACCAACATGGAACATTTTCTAAAAAGCCTCCTTGCTGCTGAAAAACAGATCTCAAGAAAACAGAGAGATGAGAGTGAGGGCGAGGATGAGGTGAGATGGCCTTCTGATCTACAGCATTAAGACTACTGTGCTCAACACCTTGAAGCCCTTTATCATGTGTTTAGAGCCACATCTGTAATTGAAAGAGTCAGCAGAATGAAGATTGGAAATTAATGGTGGTATGAAAAGCTCCCTGATCACTTTATTTAGGAGTTTTCCCAGTACCAGAAGATGGCAGATCTTAGATCTCAGTTAGAAAGGAGCCAAGAGATCGCTCCCTTTACCTTCAGGTGGGTTGAGCCCTGAGAGCGGGACTGAGACTCAGACTTGCCCTGGTTCACCCAGCCAGACAAGGGCAGGAGGTAACTAGAACTGGGTCCGTTGCCTTCTCATTCCAGGTGTCTCTTGTTACGCTTTATGATGCCTGCTGTTGTTGTATAAAAGGTTTTTGACCGTAAGCATGTAAAATCTCGTATCTTTAAAAACCAACAAGTATTTTGGTTCCAAATAACCAACACTAATACTTCATAAGGTATATGGATAATTAGCAGAGAGAAAACCCCCAAGGATCTTCATTTTTTCATGCATAGTGACCTTGTATGTCAAGATCAAGATCAGAAACTAGCAAGCTGGAAAAATAACTGAACACTGACTCCAGCCCTGGGCTCCAATCCACTTTATTTAAAGTTATCACCTGTGTCTGGGGTGAAAACTACATTTAAAACTACATTAAAATATAACACAGCTTTTAAAAGTGCATATTATCATAAATCCACTCCTCTTGAATTGTCCAAAGGGAACATTTCCATATAACCAGCATCCACATCAAGAAAGAGAACATCAGTAGTTTCTCAGAAGTGCTCCCCATGTCCCTTCTGTCCAGTCACCTGCCCCCCAAGAGTAGCTACTATCCTGACCTCATAAACTGTTTTGGCTTATTCGTGAACTTCACGTAAATGGAATCATAAAATATGAATTACTTTTGCTCAACATCATGTTTGTGAGGTTTATCCGTATTGTTGCCTGTAGCTGTAGTTTGTTGATTCTCTTTGCGCTAAAACATCCCATTGTGTGGATATATCAAAATTTAGTCTTTCCAATACTAATGTGCCTGTAGGTATTTTCCAGCTTGGGGTTATTACAAATAGTCTTGTGTACCTTTTGGTGACTACATGTGACTATACCGTGTCATGTATTACTTAGAACTAGAAATTCTAGGTCTTGGGGTGTGAATATGTTTGACTTTAATAGAAACTTCCAACTGGATGTCCAAAGTGATTGTCTAAATATATACTGCCAACGGGGGCACCTGGGTGGCTTAGTCGGTTAAGCGTCCGACTTTCGCTTAGGTCATGATCTCGCAGTTCCTGAGTTCGGGCCCCGCATCGGGCCCTGTGCTAACTGCCAGCTCGGAGCCTGGAGCCTGTTTCGGAGTCTGTGACTCCCTCTCTCTCTGATCCTCCCCTGCTCACACTGTCTCTCTCTCTCTCTCTCTCTCTCCTAGAAATAAATAAAAAACATTAAAAAAATTTTAAAAAAAAATAAATATATACTGCCAACGGAAGTGGATAAAAGTTCCAGGTGTCCTCCTTTTTTATTGGCACTTATTTTCCATCTTTTTTATTTTACGCATTCTTGCATTCTTCTGGGTATGTGGTGTTTTTGTTTTTGATTTGTTTTTAGAGAGAAAGAGAGTGCACACATCAGGGAGAGGAACAGAGGGGGAATGCGAGAGAATCCTAAGGAGGCTCCACACTCAGCGCAGAGCCCAGCATAGGGCTTGACCCCATGACTCTGGGATCATGACCTGACCTGAAATCAAGAATCAGATGGTCAACTGACTGAGCCACCCATGCATGTGGTGTGTGGTTTTAATTTGCATTTTTCTGATGGCCATTAAAACTGAGCACCGTTCCTATGTTTATACACCATGTGAGTATCTTCTCTTGAGAAGTGACTATTCAAGTATTTTGCCCATTTTTCATTGGATTCCTGTTTAACTGATTTTTAGGAATTCTTTATTCTGTGGACTGTATTTTCATAAAAATAACTACAGGTGTTTCTTTTTCTGTTGTATTTTTAGATCTAGAAAGAAAATGGTGAGAACGTTTCAGTCTGCACGTTTAAAACATGTTAAATATGTAAATATAATATCTGATAAAGTTGATAAGAGAATTTTTTTAAATAATTATAACTTTCATGTGTAAATCACATACTCTTGGGTGGATATATAACATAATAGATGTTAATATTTGAACATAGGATAACATGCTGACATTTACAATGTGACCAAAAAATCATTAGACCGCATGTCTTGTTAAAGTATTCATTATTTAAAGATACTGACTGACCCTCTTTCTAGAGACGTCAATTTGTATATTTGTATATATGAGGGTGACTAACTTATCAGCCTAAAATTGTCTAAATTTTTGTGACTACTGAGTCATACAAAATAGTTAGGTATATTTGCACAATATTTGGTGATCTGGAATGAGAATTTGGAGATCTGGTGATAAGATACAGGCCATGTGGCCTGCACAGAATTCACTTTGAAGGCTCTGGTTGGAACATCTCAGCTAAGCAGTCATCTGAAACTGAAGTTCAAGTGCTAATCAGGAGAGACACAACTGTCCCATGAATTCAGTGTAAGTCAACAATTCTTTTTCAAACACAAACTTCATACCAAAAGCCAGCTCAGAAGACAGATCCAATGACAGCAATTCAAGCTGCTCCTCACATGGATAATTCTCTTTATTGTACTCCAAGATGAGTAGCAAGGGATTTTTTTTTTTTAATGTAACAATTGTTATTGAGTCTTTCAAGCAAAGTAACAAAATAGAAAGCTAGTCAAGAAAATTTAACACAGGGCAGCTGGGTGACTCAGTTGGTTAAGTGTCCAACTCTTGACTTCGGCTCAGGTCATGATCTCATGGTTCATGAGTTTGAGACCCCCACTGGGCTCTGCACGGACAGTGCAAAGTCTTCTTGGGATTCTTTCTCTCCCTCTCTCTCTGCTTCTCTCCCACTCTCTCTCAAAAATAAATAAACATTTAAAAAATAAAATTAAAGATTTTAAAAATTTAAAAAAGATGTATGATTAAGGCTTAACAAAAAGGTTTTTCTTTTTTAAATGTTTATGTTTATTTATTTTTGAGAGAGACCAGCAGAGCATGAGTAGGGAAGGGGCAGAGAGAGAGGGAGACAAATAATTCAAAGCAGGCTCCAGGCTCTAAGCTGTCAGCACAGAGCCCAACATGGGCCTCGAACCCACAAACTGTGAGATCGTGACCTGAGCTGAAGTCTGGCACTCAACATACTGAGCCACCCAGGCACCCCTAACACAGAGTTTTAAATACAGCCATACGGAGAGCATCTCAGAGTCAATTCACTGCACCCAACTCCTATATGTCTGCCATCTTATGCAGACAGTGAGTCCTTCTTTCTAAGCTGCTAGCAGCTGGTCACTCAGTCATCTCAAATACTCATTCAGTTTAAAGCATTAGCCATCAGGCAAAGTAAGTACCAAATTTGTCAGCCTTCAATCTGCTTCATTCATTACCAGCTCAATTAAAATTGTCTACTGCCCTTGTAGCACAAATACCAGTAAAATGTAGTGCCGTAAGATTGGACTGTGAGGGAACCATTCTCCTGTCTCTTCCATGAACTGGCAATTCATAAACAAAGCACCCCCACCAAGTCCAAGTAGTTTCATAAGATTAAAGACTCCTCCAGTACATTGAGAAGGTAAATCTTACTTTGATATGATAAATATTGGATGCATGTCCTCAAGAACTTTATTTAGCTCTTCACATAAATTACGAAATGCATTTCCCAAAAAGCAGAGTGAAGATGAATTAAGCCAGACACATAAGGCTATGTGTAGTTAGGCCAAGGGCCCAGGGCCTCTAAGACAGGTGACAAAGAAACAGTCATGCAGAAATTAAAGATTTTTCCTCTATATTGCTCATTCTTGGCTGAGTGGGGCACCAGCCAGAACATGATCCTATTAACTTCCTGGCTGACTTCTCAGGCCTTCCATCTGATTCCATTATTAATACACTAACAGCTGCCAGCTTTTGGTAAGTGCCTGCTTTTTAATGGAAATGCCACAGATTACATGGCAGGGATCATGATCTCTTTTCTGCTGCAGTATGTGCACTGTTTCTTTTAAATGTTTCCAGATTCTGATTATCTTCAAGGTATAATTTGTATACAAACACATACACAGACCAGAAGGATAAGAAAACCTCAATAAATGCAGAAGCCATATGTTACCAACTATTAACAAAAAGACCCCTTTTCAAAAAATCTAATGCTTAATTGTTCTAAGAATTATTTATTTCAAAAGTGGTACACAGACTTCTGCTTCCAGGAAAACGGAAGTCCCAAGTACACCTAAAATCCTTGGATATTATGTATAAAAACAAGAAGATTCTGGAAGGTATAGAGAAGAAAATAGACCAGCCAAGGACCTCAAAACCCGAGGCAGGATATGGTAGTAAATTCCAGCTTCTCTTTTCCCCTCGTGTATTCCAGACTCGAATATGAAAAACCCAGCCATCCATGAACACCAATGGGCACAGACCAAAAAGCTCCCTCAAAGCCTGCTCTCTCTAACCAGACGACTAAGGAAAGGGCACCAGGCAGGACAGAAAACTTTTAGACAGTAACTCCTTCACTCTAAGCAGACATCAAAAGGAAAACCTGGCTCCATCCACATCAGCAAAAGTTGAGTAAGAAATCTAAACTCCCCGGGCTGCCTGGGTGGCTCAGTGGGTTCAAGTCCCACGCACACCCCGCCCCCAGGCTCTCTCTTATCAGCGAAGGACCACTTTAGATCCTCTGTCCCCCTCCCTCTCTGCTCCCTCTCTGGCTCATGTTCTCTCTCTTGCTCACTCTCTCTCAAAAATACAACAGTTTTTTTAAAAAAGAAATCTAAAATCCCACCCTTGCCAGGCTGTAATGAGGCACCCCAACCTCCTTCTGGGGTGTTTTCAGAGCACACCATGCAGAGAGCTAGGAATCTTCATCTTTTCATCCCTGCAAGACAGTAACAACCCCCCTCCACCCTACAGTGTCAGGAAAACCACCCAGGGAATCTGGAATCTACCAGCATCTGGTGTGTGGAGTCCCCTCGCCACCACCTACCTGCTCGAGTGGTATCAGCAAAGGTCAATTGGAGAGTCAGGACGTTCACCGCTGCCCATGGGTAAGGAGGCCACCCCCAGCAAAGCGTTCCTGCAGACCCCATGAGGAGCTTGAACTCCCACACGTGCCTAGCAGGTACAAGGAACCCCATCCTTAGGTAGCAGTGGGGAGCAATTGGGGAACCTGGACTTTGAGCCCCCCCCCAGGCAGACACAAGGCAGCACCCCCTGCTCCCTTCCATCACCACCGCCACCCCTACCACTGGAATGATGTCAAAGGAACTCAGCTGAAACAAAGTTTATATAAGGTCCCAAGTCATCTGATGTGATAAAATGTACAGGTTTCAGGCAAAAACCATTTATCATAGTAAGAACCAGCTAGATTAAAAAAACCAAGTTGAAAAAAGACCATAAACAGATGCCAGCACCAAGATGACACAGATATTAGGATTCTAGGAAAAAATTTAAAGAAGCCATCACAGGGGCACCTGGTGGCTCAATTGGTTAAGTGTCTGACTTCGGTTCAGGTCATGACCTTGCACTTCATGAGTTTGAGTCCCACATTGGGCTCTGTGCTGACAGCTCAGAGCCTGGAGCCTGCTTCGGATTCTGTGTCTGCTTCTCTCTCTCTGCCCCTCCCCCTCTTGAGCTCTGTTTCTCTCTCAAAAATAAACATATCATAAAGTTTTTTAAAGCCATCATAAAAATGCTTCAACAAACAATTATGAACGTGCTTGAAACAAATGAAAAACAAAATCTGAGCAAAAAAACCACAAAGTCAGAGTAAAGAAACAGAAGACAAAAAAAGAATCAAATGAAAATTTTAGAACTGAAAAATACAAAAATCAAAATAAAAAGCTCACCAGCTGGGCTCAACAGTAAAATAGAGGAAATGGAGAAAGTCAGTGGCTTTTTAGACAGAATGAAAAAATTGCCAAATCTAAACAGCAGACAGGGAAAATCCAGGACAAATGAATAGCTGTAGGAGCCTATGATACTGTAACAAATGACCTAGCACTCAAGATATCAAACTTTCAGAAGGAGAAGAGAAAGGGGGCAGGTTGTAAAAGTACTCAAATAAGGCCGAAGACTCCCCAAATGTGGAAAGAAGCAAATTTACATATTCAAGGAGGTCAATGAATCCCAAGCAGGATAAATAATTTTTTTTAAAAATCCACCCTAAGACACATCATAATGAAGCTTCCAAAAACTACAAGCAAAGAAAAAGGCTTGAAAGCAGCCAGAAAAAAATAAAAATTTAAAAATTTAAAAGAAAACACAGCTATAGAGGAAAAACTGTGAATCACAGCAGATTTCTCATTAGAAACCACAGAAGCCTGGAGGAAGAGGCACATTTTTTTAGTGCTGAAAGAAAAGAGCTCTGAGTCCAGAACCCCCAAGCCTGGCACCCACATGGAGAAAGGAGATCACCCATGCATTGCTGATGGGAATAAAAGATGTACAGTCATTCTGGAAAACAGCTTGGCAGTTTCTTGAAAAAAACACAACACAACTACCATGCAACCCAGCAATTATTCTCTCAGGCATTTATCCCAGAGAAATAAAAATTTATTCTAACACATTATGTATATTAATGTTTATAGCAGTTTTAGTCATAATCTCCCAGACCAGAAACAACCCAGTTGTCATTGTTCAACATGAAAATGGTTAAATACATTGTGGTATATCTATGCCGTGGAATACTAGTCACCAATAGTGAGGAACGAACAACTGCTTCATGCAACAATCTGGATGAACCTCTAGAGAACGAGGCGTAGTGAAGAAAGCCAGTCCCAAAAGGCTACCTACGGTATGATTCCATTTATAACATTCTGGAGATGACAAATTACAGAAACGGGGAACAGCTTAGTGGTGGCCAGGCAAATTAGGAAGGGCTGAGAGTGGGGGGAGGTGTGCGCAGCGCTGATAAGGCAACCCTGGGAATGTTCTGTATCCCAACTGCATCAGTGTCCGTATCTGCTTATAATGTTACAGTTTTGTAAAATGTTATCATTGGTGAAAACTAGGAAAAAGGCACATAGGACCTCTCTAATTCTTGATAGCATGTGAACTATAGTCCTCTCAAAAAGTTTAATTAAAAAAAAAGTGGTATATACTCAGAAAATTTCAAAATGCAGATTAGGAAGATCTAATCTGGTTATTGTACTTATATACTAATAGAAACAGCATTCGTTTATATGGGGACTTTTCAACTATATTCACCAATTTTAATCAAAATATATAGAGATTATTTGATGTTCCCTTATACCTTTGCTTCAGGGCCACATGGGAGGCTTTAAATAATTACACAGGGTTCTAAAGCTCACGGATGTCTCCCTCTCGTCCAATCCTAAATGATGACGGAATTGATTTCTTCTTGAGTAACAACTTGAAACAGTTCATTTTAACAGCTGTCTCTAGTACTTATGCCCAGAATTTTGAGGCCATCTCTGCGCCCAGATAAGAATATTCTGATTATTTAGCAATGGCCATCATGGCATAGGGTGCAGAAGTTGTTACACACACACACACACACACACACACGCACACATGCCACAGATTTATCATCTCTGTTGGCCTGAGGAAGTTAAAAAACAAACAAACAACCTTGGGGTACCTGGGTCACTCAGTTGGTTAAGCATCCAACTTCAGCTCAAGTCATTATCTCGGTTTGTGAGTCTGAGCCCTGCATCAGGCTCTGTGCTGACACCTCAGATCCTGGAGCCTGCTTCAGATTCTGTGTCCCTCTCTCTCTGCCCCTCCCCTGCTCATGCTCTCTCTCTCAAAAATAAACAAACATTTAAAAAAAAAGCCTCACACACTTCAAGAGATGCTTTTTTAATAAAATCTTCTGTGTGAAGTTTCTTAGAAACCCATTCTTCCTAAGTATTAGGTTGTTTTACATATAATAACTATTTTTTAAATGTTTTTTATTTATTTCTGAGAGAGAGAGAGACAGCATGAGCATGGGAGGGTCAGAGAGAGAGGGAGACACAGACTCTGAAACAGACTCCAGGCTCTGAACTGGCAGTCAGACGTGGGGCTCAAACCCACGAACCGTGAGATCATGACCTGAGCCGAAATTGGACGCTTAACCGACTGAGCCCCCCAGGCTCCCTGACATATAGTAACTATTTTATATGGTTTTCTTTCATTTTCCAGTCAAACTATACATGTGAATAACTCCTGCAGAGTAAGTCAACTAATTGAAATCTGAAATAACGTTGCTATGGAACTAATAGGCAGATATAAGGAAGACCAGACAAGACTAAGAATCAACTGGCACAAGGAAGACTTAAGACAATCATGGTTTTAAAAAGGAAAAAAAGATATTAAAGCAATCAGATACATAGTTATGACAAAGAGTAATGTTCCAGCATCGGGAGAGGTAGTATCCCTGAAATGGATGGACAAGGGAAGTATTACTATTGTAGAAGATTGCTCCAGAAAAGTGACATCTTCAGATGAGAAAGGGACACAATATTCTGGGAAAAACTGATGTAGAAGGACTGATGGACTCGTGGACATAGATTTCCAAGATAGAGGAAAAGGTTTTCAGACGGGCAGTCAAAGGAGGTCACCGAAGATGTTGATGTGAGTGGTGGGGAGTTGGGGAAATCAAACTGGTCTCAGATTTCTCCATGCTATAGTGCCCAAAACAGTTCCCTGTCAGGTTTATGGCGTTATAAGAGAAAAAAGGCATAAACTAAGATTTTAATACTCTTCCAACTTGTCCTTCAGGAAAAAAAAAAATCAATGCTTTCTACAGCTTGCATAGCAACAAATAATACTGTATAAAATTGTAAAAGTTTTAAAGAGGATTCCAACCCCCTGGTATTGTCTTTTACTCCCCCATTTTTTTCTTTTTTAACTTCAGAGAAAACCTTTGGAAAATAAAAAACACTTTGTGGTAGAAACATTTATGAATATTTCACTTTGTTTCTCCATTTTGCTAAGATAACTAAAATTAAAAATTAAAATAGCTCCTAAAAATTAAGTAGCTCCTATAGCATGGTTCTATTAAATTGTGCATCAGTTCTTCTATCTGTATACGTATATAGGATGACTGGGAAAATGGTCACCATTTAATGTTAATATTGGTAGTTTCTGGCTGGATGGTAGGGATTTTTTTCATGTGTGTTTGTGTGTGTGTGTTTGCATAGCTTGAATTTTAAGTTTATTTTAATTAGCTTGAATCCTTGTAATGACCAGGTGTCACTGTTATAAAAGTTCTAAGTAAATCTATTAAGAGTTTTAGAAATAGATCAAAATTTTTATAAGACACACAAGCAAGAGAGTTTTGTATCTTAAAGAGTAATTTTAAAACAAATTCCCAATGGCCTTGTGAAATAGAGCAGTGATGGCAGGCAACAAAATGGAACCAGGAGACTGCATCATGAGGATCACACTTCCCGAGGTGAAGGTCTATTTGTTTTCATGGCTAATGAAGAAACACACACTTGCAAAGCTTTCACGTGCGCGCGCGCGCGCACACACACACACACACTGAAGTAGAAAGTTATTAAAAACATAGTACGTTTATTTAAACTGTTACTTTTCATAATTCATTGAATCTTATCACAGGTCAATATCTTCATTCCATTACCTTACTGAGTACATTCATTAGTGTTACATAAAACTTCACAAAATTCAGAGTTAAAAGTATAGCTAAGAACACAGTCATGGTCTGCACAAGAGGATTCGCCATTCTGCCACTCTAGTCTCTGATGCGGTTATTTTTTGTTTCGTGGGCCTCTCAACCTTAGACTCCCTTTTGTTATCAAGGAAACGAAGCTGCTCCTCGGAGCTCCAGCCCACCAGGGCCCAGCCACTGCATTATCGGTTCGTATTGACCCAGTGGTACCTGTCCACCCGGTGCATAGCAGCAGGCCTCTGACGCTTACGGGATTTATGCAGCACATAAGCATTTCCCAGGAGGCCCGTACGGCCATCTGCCATATTCTTTTTGCGGGAGACATGGAACCAAGATTGAAAGGGCTGTTTCAAGTTTTCAACCTGAAAAAAGTATAAAAGTAGGTATGAAGATCATCTCTAAATTAATAAGCCAGACCTAAGTACTAAGTACTAAGCCAGACCAGTACTAAGTACAAACCCATGACTCAGAAGGTAAGCCTTTAGAAAGCAGAGTTCAAATGAATAGAAAACACAGCAGATAATCCAGTGGGAAGGGTTATAAAGTCAGGTCTTATCTTTTAAGAAAATTAAATCTTTAATACAACTAAAATACTTAAAAACACATCTTCAAATTTGTGTATATTCTTGGGTTTTCCTCTACCCCACCCTCCGTCACTGGCTTAACCCAAAACTGTCTAATCATGATCTCTAGGGCTAAGGCCTAGAAATATCCATTTTCAACATCCCAAATAACCAATATGGATGTTTTGCAGATCACATTCTCAAAGGACACTGCTCTGCAAAGTATATATCTGACTATTGGTCTGATCCCTAAACGGAAGGAAATCTTTCTAAGCATAAGAACAGAATTAAGGGCACATATTTCATATTTCCTTGTATGATTTTAAACTTTTATACATATAGAACTATACAATAAACTGTATAGGTCAGACACTAAACAAGCTATAGAAAAATATTTGCCAATAATATGAAAAGGGGTTCAATTATTTCTAACCTTTGAAGAGCCTGTAATAATACATTAAGACCTCAAATGATGTAAATAGGTAAAGAGAAAATTCATAAGACAGCAAGTACCCAAAACATTTGGGCACATGGAGATTTGTTTTTTAATGTTACTTAAATTAATAGTGTCTAGAACAGATAGCATCTTTAGTAAATTATTTTTAAATGAGAATAACAGACTTTCATCACATAGAGCTGGTTAGACTACAAATAAACTCTAGATGGTACTTTGGCCACATATTCACACCAGTAAAATGCCCATATGACCCAGTAATTCCATGTCTGAGAATCAAATCTCCAGACTAACTTAAAGTTCAGTTATCTCTACAACAGCTTTTTTTTTTTTAACATCCTAACAATGTGGAAATAATCTAGATGACTGCCAGTAATAAATTGGTTAAGTAAGTTACAAGGGAAAAAGTAAATACTAAGATGTTATTTAAATTGTTTTAACATTACAACCTAAGTGATTAATTTCAGAAAACATAACAAGTATAGACAGTATCGATAGACAGTCTGTCTAATGTTTTTCAAATTGTGGATTGCCACCATTTGTGAGTCATGAAATCAATTTAGGTGGTTGAAATCAACTTCGTAGAAAATATTGGGGGCATTATGCCAAGTGAGGGTAAGTATTATTTATTTAAACCTATTTCCAACATATAAATATGCTTATCTTTCTATGGGTTGTGGTTAAACACATATTAGATATATTTATATATATTTACACATACTATATATTAGATATTTTTTAAGAAAAACTGTTTTACATGTTGAGATTACAGAACTTTGACCATTTCTTAATATTACAAATTCCCTACTAATATGTTATTTTCTACTAGTAAGAAAGTTCACTAATTTTTAATATTTAACCATGAAGGAATTTGGACTAAAGGAAACTTATGTTCAAATAATACACGGCGAAACAGTCGTACAGAAGATTGCATAGCTCCTAAGCACTCTGCCAAGTAAAGAAATTACACAAGAAAACAAATTTCCCAGAAAGTCAGTAATGTGATTTTCATCTTTACAGTTTTGTTTTTTCTGTTTTCCATTCATTTCTTTTCTTTCAGTGAACAAATTCTTTTTAGAATTAGGACCAAAAAAAAAAAAAAAAAAAAGCATAGAGAACTGGACCGCACTCTACCTGATAAATACTCTTTGGATTGCTAACTTTAGGAATGATCTGAGGTTCTTTGTTACAACTTTCTTCATCAGAGGAAATGCCAGAGGCGTAGTCTAATGTAGCTCGATTAACAGCACAGCTGACCTGTTGGGAAAGCTCCCATTCCTCCCATCTGCCTTTAAAAGAAGCAATTGTAAATGGATGATTTTTCTCACCGTACCTAAGTAGGAAAAGAAAATTTAAGTATTAAGCATTCAAAATTCCACAAGTTTTTTTTTTTTAATCTCTAGCCTTTTCTACAGACTGCTCAACCAATCTGCAAAAAGTTATTTTAAGAAACAAATTGAAATGGCTTGAAGGCAAAGCAAACTTAAAGACATTGTGACCTTCAGCTTCCACAGAGCGTGGTCAGTGTGGGTATTCTGTAAGGGCTAGCTTGGTGAATTTCTCAGGCAAACATAAAAACTAGTCCCTTTTGATTCAACTAATGGACTGAATTTCAATTCCTCTCCCCTCTTGATGCTACCCGTAATACTTTGACCTTACAATCTACAGGTTGGCAGTAAGGTGCAGTGATTGAAGTCAGATTTCAAAAACAGTAAAACCTTAGTTTGCCAGCATAATTCGTTCTGGAAACATGCTTGTAATCCAAAGCACTCGTACAGCAAAGTGAATTTCAAAACCCATTGGCTCAGTTGTGATCATGTGACATTTGGCCTCATGTACTACTCGTATTGCAAGACATCGCTTGTTTATCAGATTAAAATTTATTGGGAATGTTTGCTCGTCTTGCTGAACACTCGCAGAACAAGTTACTTGCAATCCAAGGTCTGACTGCACTGTGTAAAGTCTTTGTGCTTCCCCCGGAAGTCTGTGCTAATGAAGTCTGCATCTGAAACCTTAGCCAGCCAGTGCCCTCGCCGCTGATGCAGCGCTGTAGTGGATCATCTCTCACAAAGGTGCACAGAACTGACTATAACCCAAGATTCCAGGGATCCCAGAGCTTACCACCTGCAATGGGATTACTTACCTACAGCACACTTCAAAGGGATCTACCCATATGGTCATCTCCTTTGGAAGTCCCAGGTGAGAGAAATCCACATTACTTTCAGCACAAGCCCTTTCTAGAATGGGATCTTTGTCCTGACTATTATTTATCCTGATACACCTTTAAAAAGGAAGGAAAGGGAAACAAAGACGTGGTGACAGGCGCCTTAGTAGAGAATCATGTGATGGGCCAACTGCTCCAATACATCAGCTCCCGCCTCACCCACTGACCCCCACACTGTCCCTCCACAGTTTTCTGAATAGAACCATCAACAGTAGCTGCTCACTATGTGGGCTACGTCACTAAATCACACAATTAGTTTTGCCAAATGTCATCTGCAGATCTTTCGTGGTAAACACAAGTTTGAGACTGTTTAATCCACCTCACAGAAGGGGGTTTGCACTATAGTTTTTTAACGGTATTTAAACTGTATAGTTTTCCACTCTGCACTGCCACCTGCTGCATCTCTTCCAAACCCAGAAAGCTTCTGTTACTCAGAGCCTGCCAATGGTCATCGCTCGCTCATTACTTCCCTTGGTCAGCATAGATGCCAGCTCTCACCTGAAGGCTTGCCCTTTAGAAGGGCAGTCAGTGTGCCAGTGACTTCTGTAGGTTTCAAACATGATTGTCATCAGCTTTTCTGCAAAGTCTTCTATTTGCTGTTTGCTCAGTTGATCATGTTTTTTCACCAATCTTGTGACAAAGAAGACGGCTGTTGCAATTTCATCTCTCATGATTCAAGAGAGGGGAGGAGGTCTGCAACCGTTCGAAGGAAGCGAGAATCAATTAACTAGAAACTAGGTCACACTTAAAATCAACATGTAATTGCCATTTGGAAGTTTTATATACCTTAAACTTAGAAATCATTTGCCGGTCCTTTGTGAACAAAATAAGCATGTCACTGGTATCAATTACCAAAACAGCCATGAACACCAACTCCTCACTTAGCCAGGTTTTAATATTTAAAAAAAAAAAAACCTCTCTTTAAAACTTTAATATACTTAAGAAACAAATGAAACACCAGTATATAACTTAAGTTAAAAAAAAAAAAAAGTCCTGATACAGGACAGTAAATTACACCCAAGCACTGCTTTTTAAAAACATATTTACAAAGAGTGAAACATTTCAGGATATAATAGTTCTAAATGTGGCTCTCAGGTTACATGCTTCAAGTAAAAGTTAAGGTTAATCAAACATACATTATACTTGCCAGGAAAAGTGCTTTAGGCCCAACAACAACAACAACAAAGTGGGCCAGAGTTAGAAGACATTCTCCCCCACACCTGTTTTGTTAGTTTTAGGCTGAAGTTTATATAAGCCTGGGTCGCAAGCCTAATGGCTGTTTTACCTTACACAGGTGCTTTCCTTTAGGGTAATTAGATAGCTTCTTCCAAGTCCCCCTCAGTTTGCTCCCTGGTATGTGTGGAGAGTGAGTTTTTTAAAATGGTCATAGATTTTCCACCTCTATTTGTCTCTTCTATTTTGCTATTAAAATCTTATCTCTTATGACACACATTGAGAATCAAGCCTTCCCCTTCCATATCCTAACATCCTGCATTCCAATAATTTTGTCTCTAACTTTAACTGTCAACATATTAATGAATTTTGTCTTGGAACTTTTCTCAAAAGTAAGACAATTTTCTCTGAACAATCATTATGTTGACTGTGCTCATTAAAAAAAATTTTTTTTAATGTTTTATTTATTTCTGAGAGAGAGAGAGAGAGAGACAGCATGAGCAGAGGAGGGTCAGAGAGAGAGGGAGACACATAATCTGAAGCAGGCTCCAGGCTCTGAGCTAGCTGTCAGCACAGAGCCCGACATGGGACTCGAACCCACAAACCTTGAGGTCATGACCTGAGCCGAAGTCAGACGCTTAATCGGCTGAGCCATTCAGGTGCCCCTGTGCTCATTTTTTTACTAAAATGTTGATTTGTAAAATAAGTGGAAGAGATCTTGGAGTTTAGCCATTCTCCCTCATTCTCAAAGGATAGTTCACTGACCACCTCATTTGGATCCACGAGGCTGCTTGTTAAAAATGCAGATTTGTGGACTGTTTCCCAGATCTCCTGAATTGATACTTCTATAGGTGAGCTCTGAGAATAAGTAGTTCACAAACTCTTTCAGGTGATTCTTATACCCACCAAAATTTAAGGACCACTGCAACCTGACTTAGAAGTCTTTAAACCCACAGTAGGTGGTCATTCAGGCTCTTCATCAGTAACAAGGATTTCATTCTCTTACAAGGAAACCCTTTTCATTTCTAAAACCTGCAAATACCACACAGTGCCTCCTCCCTTTGAGGACCCAATTTCTCCTAAGGGAAGCCTTCGCTCCCTTTGGAACCATAGACTGGATCTAACCCTCCACCACATGAAGGCACTTCAAACACTAGCTATGCGATCTCTCTGGAATCTTCTCTTTGGCAGGGCTATCCTCAACTTTTTAACAGTTCTTCCTATAGACACGTTACTCAGACACTTCATGCTCAGCACTCACCTGTGGATGAGTGAGTTTCAGGCATGTCAGTGGTGCTCATTTAAAGTGCAGAGCCCGGAATGACGCACAATGGCCCAGGTAAGCTCTGCCATCACAGGTTACAGTGGGACCGTCTCCTGCCTTACTATGAATACTGTATTTCTAGAATGCAGCCTCAGGTGGCATTCACCTTATTGGCAGCGAGATCCCACCACTGCCTCACATTGAACTTGAAAGTAGTCTTTTTCACTAATGCTGTTTTTTTGCTTTTTGTTTTTTTGTTTTTTGTTTTTACATCTTTCCCTTCCTGCATAGCATAATGTTTAAGAATAAGGGCTTTGGAGTTAGACCTGGGTGTGAGTTGCAACTTACGACTCACTGTCTGGGTAACCTGAGGAACGTGCTTACCTCCTGAACTTTCAGTTTTTGATCTACAAAATGAAAGGGTAAGAGTGACGCCCCCCCCACCCCCCACCCCCCACCCTGAGGTTAACAAGGTTGTTAATACATGAAAGCACCTTGTCCAGGGCCTGCCTAGCAGTTGTTACAGGAAGGCAAACCAGTCAAGAAATTAGGGGCGCCTAGGTGCTCACTGAGTTAAGTGTCTGACTTTGGCTCAGGTTCATGGGTTAGAGCCCCGCTGGGGGCTCTCTGCTGTAGCACAGAGCCCACTTTAGACCTCTGTCTTCTCTCTCTCTCTCTCCCCCTCTCAAAAATAAACATTAGGGGCACCTGGGTGGCTCAGTCAGTTGAGTGTTCGACTTCGCCTCAAGTCATAATCTCACGGTTCATGAGTTCAAGCCCAGCATCAGGCTTTGCACTGACAGCTCAGAGCCTGGAGCCTGCTTTGGTTTCTGTGTCTCCTCTCTCTGCCCCTCCCCTGCTCCTGCTCTCTCAAAAATAAATAAGTGTTAAAAAATAAAATAAACATAAAAAAAGAAATCAACTATAACATCAAGCATGATCTGATTGAATTCCAGTCCTTCTTTAGCCAGAAATTTAGGGAAGTTTCTTGATCTCTCTCACCTTCAAACTCTCATCTGTGAAAAAGGGGTAAAACGGGTACCTAAGGATTTGGAATGAGGCTTCCAGATCTGGAACACTTTATAGATTGTTATGAGAATTAAGTATAAAAGGCCTCGAAGAGCACCAAGTTCTCAGTATATGCTCTGTAAATGGTAGATATTCCTACTGCTACTATTGCCTTATGAGGTTCTTGTCAAGATTAAAATATAAAATTACATGAAATATCAAGCAGAGGTGCCAGGCATATAGTGCTCAAAAAGTGGCAGTCTTTCTTACTAGTAAATAATAGGTTTATATTTTATTAGAAGTCTTTCCTGAGGCGCCTGGGTGGGTCAGTCAGTTAAGCATCCAACTTTGGCTCAGGTCATGATCTCGTGGTTCATGAGTTCGAGCCCCCACACGGGGCTCTGTGTTGACAGCTCAGAGCCTGGAGGTGCTTCTGATTCTGTGTCTCCCTCTCTCTCTGCCCCGCCCTTGCTCACACTCTGTCTCTGTCTCTAAAAATTAAAGGTTAAAAATATAAAATAGGGGCACCTGTGTGGCTCAGTCGCTTGAGCGTCTGACTTCAGGTCAAGTCATAATCTCGTGATTCTTGGGTTCAAGCCCCGCATTGGGTTCTGTGCTGACAGCTCAAACCCTGGAGCCTGCTTCAGATTCTGTGTTTCCCTCTTTCTCTGGCCCTCCCCCACTCATGCTCTCTCTGTGTCTCTCAAAAATAAACAAACGATAAAAAATTTTGTAAAAAGTCTTTCCTCATGCTTTATGGATTAAATGACAACTGCGTATTTCAGTTTTACCCCTCATGTTTCATTGTGTTAAATTTAGACCATCACTATAAGAAATCGAAATTATTTGTGACCCTAATTTTGTCATTCAATAAATTCTCTCATCATTTTGACTACCTGCTATTTGTAAATTTGACAAGAATATGTCCTGTTACAAGTAAAAAATTAACAAGCGAAACAGCATAAAGATCAAGCAGAGTGCTTTGACAAAATCCAAGGGACTCTAGAATGCATTGGAATATATTCTAGAGAGAGCTGGAAGGATATACATTTTTAAATGTCATTCTGTAGCCTGTTTACAGTAGTATTAGCATTACTCTTGAAATTTTATATAGAGAGAAAAAGAATAGAATACAGACATATAAACATATACTCTAATGTTGTTATGAACTAAGATTCCCAGTGTAAGCAAAAAGGGATAAAAGTGTAAAATCAAAGAAATAAAGTAAAAATCCTATAATGTTACATTTGAAATGGTAATATTAATATACACTTGAGAATATCCCCCCCCCAATTTGTATGTTAGCTCTGTCCTACCAAAAGATCTAGAATTAACAAACAATCCTAACAGTCATTTTGTGGTCTCTAAATACCATTTCTCACTAAAAACAAAACAAAACAGAAAAACCTAAGAGTGCTGTTTGATTCCAGTTCGAGTTCAGAAAATCTATTAGATGAGCCTAGAAAGTATTTTACCAGAAAGCAAGAAAGCTACACAAAGCTAGTGGGTCATGCCAACAGCCACAAGAGCTACATGAAGAGCTCCCCTTGGCCAAAGAGAAGCCTTCTTGAACACTGTAACAAATACCGAGGCCCTTCAACCAGGGCCCCTCTTCAGGGTCAACACCACCCTCCCCCCAACTGCCGGAGCTATCCGATGCCCATGGCTCATAGCTGCATCTCTCACTAGAACTTACTCTTGGAAACTACCTCCCAGAAAGGATATCCTCCCCTCCTCTGCAAGGGGTGACCCGCACCCATTGACGAGCTAATGTGGGGATACGAAAACCTGGCCCCCTTGCAATTCTGAAGAGCCGTCCCATCTCCAGAGCTCCCCATAAAATAGGCTGAGTCCTCAGCTGCAAGTGCGTCACTGGTCTGCCTCTGCCTCTGTCCATCCTTTCTCACTCCCTTGTGGGTGTATCTCTCAAGAGGACTCCCTAAGAAACCTTCTGCATGGAGCCCCCCCATCACAGAGTCTGTTTATAAGGAACCCAAACTGAGACAGTTTGTACCAGGGATGTTTTAAGCAAATAGACTCTAAAGTGGAATTTGGGGGGCACCTGGGTGGCTCAGTTGGTTAAGCATCTGACATTGGCTCAGGTCATGATCTCATGGCTCATGAGTTTGAGCCCCACGTTGGGCTCTGTGCTGACAGCTCAGGGTTATAGCCTGCTTCAGATTCTGTGTCTCTCTCTCTCTCTGCCCAACCCCCACCCCACTCACA